AATGTATGTTTCACAAATAAGAAAAATAAATAATAAAAATTAGAAAAATGTATAACAAGTCAGAGTTGTGTTAAATGAAAACTAAAATACTCCCATCCTACTTCCTTTACATTCAACATGTGGGTTGTAGAAGAGATAACCAACATTTAAAAAATACAGTAACAACAGCAATGAAATTACCATGTTTTGAGCTAAGCAGTTTACACACACGGTCTGCCTTTGTCCTCATGAAAGTTGTCCAAAGTCAACACAGCTGGGAAGTGATGGAGCTACTTTTATCAGATAGTTTTATTTAGAAGAATAATATACCAGTTTCAGTAAGGGAAAAAATCCCCTATGACCCACCCATTCAGCCTTGTTTCTTTTGTGCTCTCCCTCTAGCCTTTCTTCACTTGTTCCCTCCCTCTGTCCTTCCTTTCTGCTGGTGACAACTCTGGGGCCTGCCATCTACAAAAAATGGGAGTGGGAAATACAAACAATTATACTACATGCTAACAAACTGGATAACCTAGAAGAAATAGACAACTTCCTAGAAAAATACAATGTTCCAAGACTGACCCAGGAAGAAACAGAAGATCTAAACAGACCAATTGCCAGCAATGAAATTGAATCGGTAGTCAAAAACCTATCCAACAACAAAACCCCTGGACCAGATGGATTCACCGTGGATTATTATCAGACATTTAGAGAAGACATAATACCCATTCTCCTTAAAGTCTTCCAAAAAATAGAAGAGGAGTGAATACTTCCAAACTCATTCTATGAAGCCAGTATCACTCTAATACCAAAAGCAGGCAAAGAACCCACCAAAAAAGAAAACTACAGACCAATATCCATGATGAACATAGATGCAAAAATACTCAACAACATATTACCAAACCAAATTAAAAAATACATTAGGAGGATCATACACCATGATCAAGTGGGATTCATCTCAGGGATGCAAGGATGGTACAACATTCGAAAGTCCATCAACATCATCTACCACATCAACAAAAAGAAGGACAAAAACCACATGATCATCTCCATAGATGCTGAAAAAGCATTTGTAAAAATTCAACATCCATTCATGATAAAACTCTCAATAAAATGGGTATAGAGGGAAGTACCTCAACATAATAAAGGCCATACACGACAAGCCCACAGCCAACATCATACTTAACAGCGAGAAGCTGAAAGCCTTTCACCTAAGATCAGGAACAAGACAGGGATGCCCACTCTCCCCACTGTTATTCAACATAGTACTGGAGGTCCTCGCCACAGCAATCAGACCACACAAAGAAATAAAAGGCATCCAGATTGGTAAAGAAGAAGTCAAACTGTCACTATTTGCAGATGACATGATATTGTACACAAAAAAACCCTAAATAATCCACTCTAAAACTATTAGAACTAGTATCTGAATTCAGCAAAGTTGCAGGATACAATATTAATAAACAGAAATCTGTTGCTTTCCTATACCCTAACAATGAATTAACAGAAAGAGAAATCAGGAAAACAATTCCATTCACAATTGCATCAAAAAGAATAAAATATCTAGGAATAAACCTAGCCAAGGAAGTGAAAGACCTATACCCTGAAAACTACAAGACCTCCAGGAGAAATTAAAGAGGACACTAACAAATGGAAACTCATCCCATGCTCTTGGCTAGGAAGAATTAATATTGTCAAAATGGCCATCCTGCCTAAAGCAATCTACAGATTCAATGCAATCCCTACCAAAATATCAACAGCATTCTTCAACAAACTGGAACAAATAGTTCTAAAATTCATATGGCAACACCAAAGACCCTGAATAGCCAAAGCAATTCGGAGAAGGAAGAATAAAGCAGGGGAGATCTCACTTCCCAACTTCAAGCTCTACTACAAAGTCACAGTAATCAAGACAATTTGGTACTGGCACAAGAAAAGATCCATAGACCAGTGGAACAGAATTAACCTGAATATATAGACATTAACCCAAATATATACAGTCAATTAATATACGATAAAGGAGCCATGGACATACAATGGGGAAATGACAGCCTCTTCAACAGCTGGTGTTGGCAAAACTGGACAGCTACATGTAAGAGAATGAAACTGGATCACTGTCTAATCCCATACACAAAAGTAAATTCAAAATGGATCAAAGACCTGAATGTAAGTTATGAAACCAGAAAACTTCTAGAAAAAAACATAGGCAAAAATCTCTTGGACATAAACATGAGCAACTTCTTCATGAACATATCTCCCCGGGCAAGGGAAACAAAAGCAAAAGTGAAGAAGTGGGACTATATCAAGATGAAAAGCTTCTGTACAGCAAAGGACACCATCAATAGAACAAAAAGGTACCCTACAGTATGGGAGAATATATTCATAAATGACAGATCCGATAAAGGGTTGACATCCAAAATATATAAAGAGCTCACACACCTCAACAAACAAAAAGCAAATAATCCAATTAAAAAATGGGCAGAGGAGCTGAACAGACACTTCTCCAAAGAAGAAATTCAGATGGCCAATAGGCACATGAAAAGATGCTGCACATTGCTAATTATCAGAGAAATGCAAATTAAAACCACAATGAGATATAACCTCACACCAATTAGCATGGCCACCATCCAAAAGACAAACAACAACAAATGTTGGCAAGGAACCCTCCTACACTGCTGGTGGGAATGTAAATTAGTTCAACCATTGTGGAAAGCAGTATGGAGGTTCATAAAAAAAAACTAAAAAATAAAATGCCATTTGACCCAGGAATTCCACTCCTAGGAATTTACCCTAAGAATGCAGGAGCCCAGTTTGAAAAAGACATATGCACCCATATGTTTATCGCAGCACTATTTACAATAGCTAAGAAATGGAAGCAACCTAAGTGTCCATCAGTAGATGAATGGATAAGGAAGATGTGGTACATATACACAGTGGAATATTATTCAGCCATAAGAAGAAAACAAATCCTACCATTTGCAACAGCATGGATGGAGCTAGAGGGTATTATGCTCAGCGAAATAAGCCAGGTGGAGAAAGACAAGTATCAAATGATTTCACTAGTCTGTGGAGTCTAAGAACAAAGAAAATACTGAAGGAACAAAACAGCAGCAGACTCACAGAACCCAAGAATAGACTGACAGTTACCAAAGGGAAAGGGATTGGGGAGGATGGGTGGGAAGGGAGGGATAAGGGGCATTACAATTAGCACACATAATGTGGGGGAGCATGGGGAAGGCAGTATAGTACAGAGAAGACAAGTAGTGATTCTATAGCATCTTACTATGCTGATGAACAGTGACTGTAATGGGGTATGTGGTGGGGACTTGATAATGGGGGGAATCTGGTAACCACGAAGTTGCTCATGTAAGTGTATATTAATGACACCAAAAAAGAAAAATGGAAGTGGGGACTGGAATGGGGGTAGGGAGAGCAGAGCATGGCAGTTGTGTTTGAGTAGTTCTGCCCCAGCCAGCTGAGAGGGGACAGGCAAACCAGCCCCAGGTGTGCATCTTATCACCTGTTGCCTGGGGACAAATCGTGTCACCTATCGAAACCTCAGTGTGCTTAAAAATAAAATGCAGATAATTCTGTTAACCACCAGAGATTGTCTGGGAAATCAAATACATCTGCATAGTGCCTTACAAGCATTGTGCCATACATTTAGGCATTGTTAATATTGTGTTAGTCCCAAAATGGGGGTTTGAAAAGGTTGGCCCTATGGTAATGATCACTTTTGTTTAAAGAGAGTGAAGATTTACCGGTTGGAATATGTGCCACCACAGACTCATGGGCCAGAGTCGTCCCAGCCCTGCCTGTTGCACATGTGAGAGTAAGCACGTTGGTGGCGGCCTTCCCTGGGACTCTAGTGACCCCATTTTTGTGATTCTCAAATATGTATCACCCCAAACCGCCAGAGGGTGAAGAGCCTTGAATGCAGGGCTGTGGAATTGGGATTTGATCTGGGAGGCAATGGGGAGGTACAAGGATTCCTATGAAGAGTGTGTACTTTATCTGGACAATGGGAAGTCATTTAAGCAGGAAAGTGATGAGACCATATCTTATTTTAGTAAGAAGTGGTGGGGGAGGGTTCTGGAAGCCTCCTGAGCTGGATGCCTGTGGCCGTCCTGAAGAGATAAAGCTGCACAGCAGTGAAGGCGGGGAGAGGAAGCTGTCTGACAGCAGATTCTCAGAAGCTGGGTGGAAGCCAGTGTAGATACACCCTCACAGCACCTCGGGGGTTTCCCAAACTGTGCAAAGGGGAAGTAGTTACCCTTAAGAAGGCAGGTAGCCTGAGGGCTTCTTTGGCTTGTGCTGCTGGCCCAGGCTGTGTGATCTTGGGCAAGCCAGTGAACCTGCTCAGGCCCGTCTCCTCATCTGCAACACACAGTGTGGAGGCCTGGTGAGGATTTGATGTATGCAAAGCTGGGCCTGGCATGGTTGGCACTCAGTTGACATAGCTGCTATTTTCAGGGTTCCCATCTATAAACCAGGGAAGGATGCACACGTTTCTACTGCTTGGGAAGGGGAAGCTGTATAACTGCCAGATTTCATATTTTGGGGCTCAATTAGGTACTTGGTGGATAGGTATCTTTAACTTCCTTGGATGCTCAGGGAAATGTGTCGTCTGCAGAGCCCTCTCACATGTGTGCCCTCATTTCTCCCCTCCCAGCAGCCCTGTGAGTTAGGGAAGAAGATATTACTATCATCTCCACTTTATAGGTGAGGAAACAGGCTCAGAGAAGGAAAGTGATTTGTTAAAAGTCACACAGCAGGTAGAATTGGAAGCCAGTAGTGCCTGATTCAGAATGTCAGAACTGGACCAACCACAGGAGATTGTCATTCCAACCACTGCATTTTACAGATGGGGAGGCTGAGGTCTAAAGAGGGAAAGAACTCGCCCGGGCATACTGTGAGTGAAAGGCAGAGCCTCGACTGGAACCCAGGTCTCTGAATTCTTGACTCAGCCTCTTGATGGCTAGCCCACTTCACTGAATAATAGTAACTTTCTTTCCATGTCGTTTCAGGGAAACCAGTTCCTAAAATTGAGTGTTCTATCCCAGACTTCTCAGGTGTCGTGAAGCCAGAAAGGCCCTTGGCAGCTTCTCTGAGAAACACTGAAGATGGATGTGCAAAGGAGCAGCCCACAAGGCCACCTGCTTCTTCAGGCCCAGGTATTTTAGATCAAATTTTTTTATGTAAAGGAAATTTATTTTATGTGTATTTATGAGGATATTCAGCTCAGCATATAGTAGCAAAAAATTGGAAACAACAGGAATGGTAGAATTAAGGGCAGTAATAACAATACAATATAGACCCTTAAGCAACATGGGGGGTTAGGGTCACAGTCAAAAATCTGCATATAATTTTTGACTCCATGGTAACTTAACTACTAATAGCCTACTATTGATTTTATGGTAGTAAATGATAAAGTACACTAGTATCTTTACATAAATTTTACACATTCATGACATTACTTTTATTAATTTTTTCAATATTTCAACCGATGTGGTTTGTCTGTAAATCTTTTCAAATTGTTGCAAATCTCCAAAAAAACTTTTCCAATATATTTATTGAAAAAAAATCTGTGGCATCTTACTACACTGAAGGACAGTGACTGCAATGGGATATGGGTGGGGACTTGATAATATGGGTGAATGTAGTGACCAGATTGTTTTTCATGTGAAACGTTCATAAGAGTGTATATCAATAATATCTTAATAAAAAAAATATCTGTGTGTAAGTGGACCTGTGTTGTTCAAGGGTCCATTGTATTATTAACAATGATGTAGATATATGTACATACATGGAACACATGCTTATGATATATTGAGTTTAAAAAGCTGGAAGTCAAATAACAAAAGAATATATATCATTTATTACCATTTTTATAAAGAGAAAAAAAAATTCTGTAATTGAGGGCTTTCTTTGTCCCATATACTGTTCTAAGTACCTTGAAGATGTTGACTTATTTAATCTTCGGTTAGGTATGTGAGTTAGGTATTGTGATTATCCCCATTTCACAGATAAGGAAACTGAAGCATAGAGAGTTTAAACAGCCTGCCAAAGTCAGCATCAGCTGCGAGAAGCATGCACAGGCTTTGCAGTAGACAGATTAATATTTGTATCCGGTCTATGCCACTTGTGAGCAGAATTATTAGTCTCTCTGCACCTCAGTTTCTTCATCTAAAAAATGGGCATAATAATAGAAACTTTGTCATGTTGTAGAATGGAATCAGACACCTCAGTATCACCACCATTAAATGTGAGCAGATATTAGGAACATTCCAGACATCCCAGATAGGTTGATTCTGGAAATTTAATTTTAGGTCCAGGAGTCTAAATTATTTCCTGTAGCTAAGATAAAAGCAACAAGTACAGAACTCTGATCTTTTAAAGATAAGGGGCAGTGGTCCTACAGCAGATGTGACACTGGCTGATGGCCAGAGAGAAAAATGATAATAAAATAGGGAAATTCTAGGGGAGTGCTCATCAAGATGGAGGAGGTTACATGTGTAGCAGCTTCTTCTGGTGTTTCTTACACATCATATGTGTAAGAAATGGATGGTTATTTCCTTTTTATATTTGAGAGAGCTCAAATATACCAGCCTTTACTCCCTTCACTTTCTGAATGGCCCTTGGGAGCACATGTGCCCCAGCAGGTCAAGAAGATTACTAAATACACACACACACACACACCCCTGCAGACAGGGATAGGAAGATGTGCTCCAGCAGGTCAAGAAGATTAATAAACACACACACACACACACACACACACACACACACCACCCCCACCCCCCTGCAGATAGGGACAGGCAGTCAGCTGTCTAGCTTTGCCCAAACTGCAAATAAGAGAGTAACCATTAATTTCATCAAATAACCCCAAACCTATTTTCTCTTGGGAAAACCCCAAGTTGCCATTGTTCAAAGTTCAGGTTGTTGGATAATCTTGTAAGAGTGGAGAATGAGGAGTCAGGGTGGCTGGGGAGGACACAGACAGGGGACCGTGGGCACTGAGCTTCCCTCAGTACTCCAGTGACTCACCCTGACAGCCTGAGAGCTGGGGGCTCTAGTTGTCCACTTTGATAGCTGGGGAGAGATGCAGAACCTGCCAAAGCTTCCTGGTGAAGCATGGTGGGGGAATAGGATTCAGCTCATGTGGGCTGCCCCAGAACCCATACCTTAATGCCTGTGAACACTGACCCCCTGAAGTGGGGAAGAGACAAGGAAGAGGAAAATACCTGAGCAGGTAAGCCACAGGCAGGTTCTGAGCACCTCATGAAAGAATTCTCAAAGCTAGAATTCAGATAGAAAAGGCTTTGAGTCACTGAAATAACTGTCACAAAGCTATAGGAGAGGCCATTGGACTATCAGTCAGAATCCATTTACTCTTCTCCTACACATACTTTTACCAACCTTGATTCTCCCTGAGTACCAGAGACTGACCTCTGTGCTTTATAACTGTCATCTCTTATTTAATTTGGACAAGAACTCTACAAGAAATGGATGGTTATTTCCTTTTTATATTTGAGAGAGCTCAAATAAATGAAGCCCAGCCACACCAATAGTCAAATCTTTAGTAATGATAGAGCCAGGACTTAAACCCAGTTCTGTCCGATACCAGGAAAGGAGATGGGCGAGCTGTAGAGGCAGACCCATTGCCAGCAGCAGGGCGTGATATAGAAACGCCCAGTTAGATACAGCACTGCGGCATGGTCTGAAGCTCTGCCTACATTTTTACAACTCCGGATGAGATTTGGTGCATTCTGCTTGGAAAAGCAGACATTCTGGAAAGATTTCTGTAGGAATTTTTTTTTTTTAAGTAGAAGCTTTGACATACAAAGGGTTAAATCTTAGCCCAGGCCTTCCAGGAGTATTTACAAAGCAAAGCCCAGTTCTTATCAGATCTGTCAGCCTTGTGGTATTGGCCCAAACCCCATTCCTTTTTTTCCCAAAACCACAGGGATCAACTCAGCCACTCCTCCAACTAGTAGCCCTCATATGTCACAAGAGTAAACTCAGATATACCCTCCAACCCCAGAGGCCCAGTATAGCACCCAGGGCCAACTCCTGTCATCAAGCCAGACCAGAAATTATGGCTTATGTGAGGCCGGCCAGTGCTGTCCTGGGATTCCCTGAGCAAAGGGAGAGGAAAGGGAACTAAGCGTGCCATGAGGGCCCTGCCCTAAGTCCAGTGTGGGTTGGGGGCCAGAAGAGGGGGAGCAGGCAGAGACAGGGCAGAGTAGGGCAGAATTCAGAGTAAGAAAGAAAATTGGTTGGTCTGGAGCAGTGGTTCCCGAGTGTGGCGCCTGGTCCCAGTGGAACCTGAGAACATGGATGTTAAAAAGAAAACAACAACAAAAAAATCACATGTGCAAAAAAACTAGGGATTTCAAGGCTAAATACACAATATGCGAATTAAAGTGGTTTGAAAGAAAAACACCAAGTAACTCATAATTAGGCAGCACAGAGACATGGCCAACAACCAAGGAGATGGATGAACGTGACCGCAGTTTGGAGGACACAGGCCAAGGATACTGGGCTGAGGCCAAGAGAAGGCTGGTCTGCAGTGCATTCTCATGGAAGCAGCAGACCCAGGGAGAGAGGCTTAGTGGGGGCCCTTGTCTCAGGCTCTGTGGGGATGACAGAGCCTCGGCCTTGTATTAGATGAGTTTTATTAGCTGTCTGTGTTAATAGTTGAGCAAGGCTGATTCTAGTTTCGTCATGGTGCTGTCTTTAGTCTTCTGAATTAATTTTCGTTATGGCCAAAGTTCCAGATTAATCACTCATTTCCTGATGTTGTAAACCAGAAAAACCCGAAACAGGTGGATTTGGCCATCCACCCCAGGGTCAAGGGCAGATTCTCTCTGGAGGGCCTGCCCCAGATACTCAGAGACCATCCCTGGTGTGGGGCCAGTTGGGTAATTCCAGATGGTGACATCTGCAGCTTCTGGCTTCTGGCTAAGGCCTGCCTCCACCTGGATCCACGCACAGCCCATCTAATCCCTGCCTGCACCCTCTCTAGTCCGGCAGACTCTGCACTATCATGTTAGTCTTCTGGTTCATCATCATGTGGCACCTGGTGAAGAAATGTCACCTCTTAAACCTGAATTTTACCTGGTGCTAAAGTGCTCTTTGAGTCTTCTCTCTCCTGAATCTTATTCATTCACTAAGGAATTAAGAACAGGGACTCTAGAGCCCCTGACTGTGCCCTTGGAAAGGCTGCTTAACCTCTCTCAGCCGTAGGCTCACCATCTGTAAGGGGATGACAGGGGTCCCTGTCTCCTAGGGTTGTGGTGAGGGTTAAATGAGTTAACAAAAGGAGCTCTCAGAACAGTGCCAGGCGTGTCAGTGTTTGGTAATTAAACGTGCCCAGAGTGTCTTCTGCACACCTAGGCTCCCCTCCTCCACATGGGCCAGGCTCACTGCCTCAATGCCCGGGGACCTCATATCCACTTGTTGAAATGTTTCCCCATCTTTCAGGCCCAGGTCAAATGCTCCTTCCTCTGTGAAACCTTCCTTTATCTCCCAACCTGCTTTGGTGGCCTCTCCTGCCTCTCACCTTGGAGACTAGCTATTGCCATCCTTGCAACAGTGGAGGTTTCTAGAAGTTAGACTCCATAACTAATTCACCTCTGTGTCCTTCACTGCTGTTTGTGTGGGACGTGGGCCAGTGTAGGGGTTAGAAGTCACGTGGATCTCCATTGAAGCTTGGTTCTGCCACTTCATAGCTGTGTGACCCTGGGAAAGTGACCACCTCCCGCGCTTCTATTTCCAAGGCGGATCATATATAGGACCACCCCATAGGGCTGTCATAAATCTTCAGAGTCTTAACTCTTGAGGAGCATGTAGGCTGGTGACTGGGGGGTATTAGGAAATGGCAGCCTTCATTGTCCACAACGAGTGTTTGTGGAGTTGGATGGCATACTGGCTTGGTCTGGGGACTGGACAGGGACCCCCTCTCGTCTTCCAGCAGGCCCAGGCCTGACCCACAGTCCCTCTTTTCCAGGGCCTGTGCCAGCCAGAGCCAACCTCCTGCTTCCTCCTGGTGATGCCCCTCATCCTTTGAAAACTGACCTTCCTGCTTCATTTGATTCAGAGGTAAATCTTTCCCACCCCCAGGGATACCACCCAACCTGTGTCTCTCTCTCTCAGAAATGCAATGTATTTATTTTCTGAGACCAATTTGGGGGCTCGGGGTCAGGTTGAGAGGCTGAAAGGAGACCCATGGGATTACTCCAAACTTCTAAGACTCTACGGCATGCTGGCGTCAGTCAAGCTGGGTCAGAGAGTGGGGAGGGGGGCACTTTAATGAATATACTTTTAAAATGAGCATTTCCATTATTTGTGTTTAGTGAGAGCTGATAATTGGCATCTTCCTCCCCCAAAATATATTGTTTACATTTATAGTAAGTCATTTGTTTACAAATTACCTCACCTCCAACCTATTTCAAACCAGTTACATGTCTGAGTTATCCTGAATTTTCAGTGGCTTGGAGCAAGGGTCTCATGTGACTCTTGTGGGGCTTAGGCGATTTTGCCTTTATTGGCCCTTGCCTTCATTTAAAAAAATAAAATAAAATAAATTTTTGATGATTGCATTGGTATAAAGATTAACAATTCAAGATAGATTAAAATTTAAAACATTTTCTTCAACTCTAAATGTTCCATTTTGTTCTTCTGACTTTAAAATAAATTAAAACATTTTTTTGAATCCCTCAAAATATCCTGGGCAGGGTGCCTAGAAGAAAGCCAGCACTGCGTTGGTCTGGATAATGAAGCTCCTGCATAAAGGAGACTGTCACTTAGGAGTTTTTTTTTTTTAATAACCATTTTCAAAGATGATTTAATAATTAGGAGAATGATCATGGTTTACAGTGTTAAATGAAAACACCAGAAATCAAAACTGTGTGTGGCATGATACCAGTTTTTAAAAATAAATCCTTCTGTATCTAATTGGCAAGAAATACACTAAATTTTAATAGCAGTTAAGTGGATAATGGGATCATGGATGATTTTTTCCCTCATAATTTTCTAACACGGTGTGTTCTAACAGCATATGTAAGTTTAAAAATTTTAATTTATGTTCACCTATTTTTAAGAAGGAAAGTTATTAAAGCAGAGCTGCTCTTCATAGGCTAACATAAAACCGTGTTTGGTTATGTGAACCTTTGTCCTGTTTTATAGCATGTATGGGACCAGGGGCACCAGCTTAGCCATTGACCAGCTGTGTCACCTCACCTCAGCAATTTGACCTCCTTGGCACTCACCTTTGTAAACTGGAAAAAAAAAAAGAAGGAAACAGCAGCCATGTGCCAGGAATATCCACATTTTAGTTAATCTTCAAAATTACCTTCCAGAGTCTATTGTTATCTTCATGTTTGCTAATGAGGAAATTGAGGCTCAGACAGGTTAAGTAACTTGCCCAACATCACAGAGCAAGCTAAAGGTGGAGCTGGGCTTTGAGCTGGCCCTATCCATGTTCTTTTTTTACCATTCCTCCCCACTGAATAAGATGAACCCCTGCACCCCTTCAGCTCGGGTGATCTAAGATTCTCTGAGGTAATAGGGAACAATATTGTCCATATTAATCTCCATCTTTTCTTTCTTCATTTCCAGGATTTTGGAACCTCCATTCCTAAGCAGGAAACACGTTTGAGCCTGGCTGGAGACAACTTTTTCTGGAGTGAGGCAGATGTGGTCCAGGCAACTGATAACTTCAGCCAAAACCACAAAATCAGTGAGGGGACCCTTGCTGACATCTACAGAGGGCAAAGGCATGGCATGCCATTTGTCTTCAAGAAGCTCAGAGAGGTGAACACTTCTTGGTTTCTTTTAAGGGCTGGAGGCTGCATGGAGGAGGCTGGATTTTCTGTTTCAATGTCTTTTCCCACAGATGGCCAGCTCAGGTCCAGGAACGACTGAAAAATTCTTCCAGGCAGAGGTACAAATTTGTCGTAGGTAAGCCTCCCCTTTGGAAAATACTTTGTTTAATAATGACAGCTGGCTCTTATAGAGTCCTTCCTGTGTGCCAGGCATGTTTTAAGCACTCTAAAACCATTATATGGTATATATACTCATTTAATGCTCACAAGAACCTTGTAACATAACTACTGTTATCACATTACTTTACAAAGGGGCAGATTGAGGCCCAGAGAGATCAGGTATCTTGTGCAAGTGGCAGAGCTGTAATTTTTTTTGGTATCATTAATCTACAATTACATGAGCAACATTATGGTTACTAGACTTCTCCCATCATCAAGTCACCTCCACATACCCCATTAGAGTCACTGTCCATCAGCATAGTAAGATGCTATAGAATCACTACTTGTCTTCTCTGTGTTGTACAACCCTCCCCGTGCCCCCCCTACATTATGTGTGCTAATTGTAATGCCCCTTTTTCCCCCTTGTCCCTCCCTTCCCAACCATCCTCCCCAGTCCCTTTCCCTTTGGTAACTGTTAGTCTGTTCTTGGGTTCTGTGTTTCTGCTGCTGTTTTGTTCCTTCAGTTTTTTTCTTTCTTCTTATACTCCACATACAAGTGAAATCATCTGATACTTGTCTTTTTCCACCTGGCTTATTTCACTGGGCATAATACCCTCTAGCTCCATCCATGCTGTTCCAAATGGTAGGATTTGTTTTCTTCTTATGACTGAGTAAGATTCCAATCTGTATATATACCACATCTTCTTTATCCATTCATCTACTGATGGACACTTAGGTTGCTTCCATTTCTTGGCTATTGTAAATAGTGTTGCGATAAAATAGGGGTGCATCTGTCTTTTACAAACTGGGCAGCTGCATTCTTAGAGTAAATTCCTAGTAGTGAAATTTTTAGTTTTTTGAAGAACCTCCATACTGCTTTCCACAATGGTTGAACTAATCTACATTCCCACCAGCAGTGTAGGAGGGTTCCCCTTTCTCCACAACCTAGCCAACATTGTTGTTGTTTGTCTTTTGTATGGTGACCATCCTTACTGGTGTGAGGCGATATCTCATTGTGGTTTTAATTTGCATTTCTGTGATGATTAGTGAAGTGGAGCATCTTTTCATGTGCCTATTGGCCATCTGAATTTCTTCTTTGGAGAAGTGTCTGTTCAGATCCTCTGCCCATTTTTTAATTGGATTATTTGCTTTTTGTTTGTTGAGGTGCGTGAGCTCTTTATATATTTTGGATGTCAACCCTTTATCGGATCTGTCATTTATGAATATATTCTCCCATACTGTAGGGTACCTTTTTGTTCTATTGATGGTGTCCTTTGCTGTACAGAAGCTTTTCATCTTGATATAGTCCCACTTCTTCACTTTTGCTTTTGTTTCCCTTGCCCAGGGAGATATGTTCATGAAGAAGTTGCTCATGTTTATGTCCAAGAGATTTTTGCCTATGTTTTTTTCTAGAAGTTTTCTGGTTTCATAACTTACATTCAGGTCTTTGATCCATTTTGAATTTACTTTTGTGTATGGGATTAGACAGTGATCCAGTTTCATTCTCTTACATGTAGCTGTCCAGTTTTGCCAACACCAGCTGTTGAAGAGGCTGTCATTTCCCCATTGTATGTCCATGGCTCCTTTATCGTATATTAATTGACTGTATATATTTGGGTTAATGTCTATATATTCAGGTTAATTCTGTTCCACTGGTCTATGGATCTTTTCTTGTGCCAGTACCAAATTGTCTTGATTACTGTGACTTTGTAGTAGAGCTTGAAGTTGGGAAGTGAGATCTCCCCTGCTTTATTCTTCCTTCTCCGAATTGCTTTGGCTATTCAGGGTCTTTGGTGTTGCCATATGAATTTTAGAACTATTTGTTCCAGTTTGTTGAAGAATGCTGTTGATATTTTGGTAGGGATTGCATTGAATCTGTAGATTGCTTTAGGCAGGATGGCCATTTTGACAATATTAATTCTTCCTAGCCAAGAGCATGGGATGAGTTTCCATTTGTTAGTGTCCTCTTTAATTTCTCCTGGAGTGTCTTGTAGTTTTCAGGGTATAGGTCTTTCACTTCCTTGGCTAGGTTTATTCCTAGATATTTTATTCTTTTTGATGCAATTGTGAATGGAATTGTTTTCCTGATTTCTCTTTCTGTTAATTCATTGTTAGGGTATAGGAAAGCAACAGATTTCTGTTTATTAATTTTGTATCCTGCAACTTTGCTGAATTCAGATACTAGTTCTAATAGTTTTAGAGTGGATTATTTAGGGTTTTTTTGTGTACAATATCATGTCATCTGCAAATAGTGACAGTTTGACTTCTTCTTTACCAATCTGGATGCCTTTTATTTCTTTGTGTGGTCTGATTGCTGTGGCGAGGACCTCCAGTACTATGTTGAATAACAGTGGGGAGAGTGGGCATCCCTGTCTTGTTCCTGATCTTAGGTGAAAGGCTTTCAGCTTCTCGCTGTTAAGTATGATGTTGGCTGTGGGCTTGTCGTGTATGGCCTTTATTATGTTGAGGTACTTCCCTCTATACCCATTTTATTGAGAGTTTTATCATGAATGGATGTTGAATTTTTACAAATGCTTTTTCAGCATCTATGGAGATGATCATGTGGTTTTTGTCCTTCTTTTTGTTGATGTGGTAGATGATGTTGATGGATTTTCGAATGTTGTACCATCCTTGCATCCCTGAGATGAGTCCCACTTGGTCATGGTATATGATCCTTTTGATGTATTTTTGAATTTGGTTTGCTAATATTTTGTTGAGTATTTTTGCATCTATGTTCATCACGGATATTGGTCTGTAGTTTTCTTTTTTGCTGGTTTCTTTACCTGGTTTTAGTATTAGAGTGATGCTGGCTTCATAGAATGAGTTTGGAAGTATTCCCTCCTCTTCTATTTTTTGGAAAACTTTAAGGAGAATGGGTATTATGTTTTCTCTAAATGTCTGATAAAATTCGGTGGTGAATCCATCTTGCCCAGGGGGTTTGTTCTTGGGTAATTTTTTGATTACCACTTCAATTTTGTTGATGGTAATTGGTCTGTTTAGATTTTGTGTTTCTTCCTTGGTCAGTCTTTGCAGGTTGTATTTTTCTAGGAAGTTGTCCATTTCTTCTAGGTTTTGCAGCTTGTTAGCATATCGATTTTCATAGAATTCTCTAATAATTCTTTGTATTTCTGTGGGGTCTGTCATGATTTTTCCTTTCTCATTTCTGATTCTGTTTATGTGTGTAGATTCTCTTTTTCTCTTAATAAGTCTGGCTAGTGGTTTATCTATTTTGTTTATTTTCTCAAAGAACCAGCTCTTTATTTTCATTGATTTTTTCCTGTTGTTTTATTCTTCTCTATTTTATTTATTTCTTCTCTGATCTTTATTATGTCCCTCCTTCTTCTCACTTTGTGCCTCATTTGTTCTTCTTTTTCCAGTTTCAATAATTGTGACTTTAAACTGTCCTTTTGGGGTTGTTCTTCCTTCTTTAAATAGGCCTGGATTGCAAGATACTTTCCTCTTAGAACTGCCTTTGCTGCATCCCACAGAAGTTGGGGCTGCAGAGCTGGAATTTGAACCTAGGTTGCTCTGGCTTCATAGGACATGGCTTTTCTCTGTAGCAACTATACACATAGATTAACGAACTTTGGCTTACTTGGCCCAACTCCTTCCGTCCAGTGGGGAAGAAATCTGTTTCTGCCCCATTTTTTGACATGGGCGGAGACTTACTGATTCCTACATTAACAGCAAAACTATCTTAAAATCGTGGTGCTCTAGAGTAGGAGTTGGCAGATGAGGACCCATCGGCTAAGTCTTGGCCCTGCCCATGTTTGTATGGCCTGGGAAAAAAAAATGGTTTTAACATTTCTAAATGGTTGAAATAAATCAAAAGAAGAAGAGTATTTCATGACACATGAAAAGTATATGAAATCCACATTTCCCTGACCATAATAAAGTTTTGTTGCAACATAGCCACATTCATTTATTTCTGTATCATCTTTGGCTGCTTTTGTGGATGGATGATAGTACACACTTGAGTAATTGCAAGAGAGAACACATGGCTTACAGAGTCTAACATATTTACTATCTAGCCCTTTAAAGAGAAATTTTGCTGACCTCTGGTCTTGAGCAATAAGGGCCTTCAAAAGTCATCCTCAAACCTGCTCATTTTGCAGATGGGGGAGCAGGCTGGGGAGCTGCAATGAGCCTCTCTATCACAGAGCTGTGTGGGCGTTGGGAGAGAGAAGGGGAAGGACTGTTTGGAGACCTGGAGACTTGTCCTGGCTCTGCAATCATTGACTGATGAATGTAGCCAATGCATTTTGGGCACCTGTCATGTGCTGGACACCAGCAGTCACTCAACCTTGGCAAGTTACTCACTGGGTTTCCTGTGCCAACATGCAGCCTTGGGCAAGTTGAAGAGTATTTTAAGCAGTAAATTTATAGATAAAAGTATGTAAATCACCTATTTTCCATAGCACTATAAATAACTACTGCCGTATTATTAGTATTTAGATATCTTTTCTTTAATCCTCTCTATTCATACATGTGTATAAACATACACATATATGTACATACACACTTAATAAAAAATGGAAATATGATCTCCTTTCCACTTTGTCATAGTATCTTCCTGATGTCAATAGCTACTCCTTAATTCATTGATTTAGCAAATGTGAGTTGTCGAGACTTTCCTTGGCTTTAGGAAGTGCAGATGTGAAGAATACATGGCCCCTGCCTTGCGAAAGTTTATGGTCCAGTAGGGAGCCTGAGTGTAAATAATTCTCATGAGTGTGGAAACCGAAGTAGGATGGCCTGGGGGAGTGGAGGAGGGCATAGTTATCAGCCATTACACTGGTCCTGGGGAGATTCCATCAAGGGCTGATGGGAAGTAGAGGAGAGGGAATGAAAGGGACATTTTGAAATCTATTTGTGATCGTGAATGGTGGTTAATTTGATGGCATGGGTAGGGGGGCAGTAAGGAGGTTTCTAGGAAACCAGATGGACGGTGATGCCCTTTGCTGAGATAAAAACTGTGGGCAGAGAAGCATGTTTGGAACTTGTTGAGCCTAGGCTGTTCACCTGGAGCATTGCCATGCAATTAGACGTGCAGGTCCAGAGCTTAGGATGAAACTAAAGATGAGAGATTTGTGAATGTTGCACATACAGATGGAAGATACCTGGAGATAGTCTATAAAACAAGATGGCAAGCCCAGCTAGGATACTCAGGTTTCAGACAATGGCTAGGGAGGAGACTCTTGGGGATAAAAGCAAAGAAAGGGTGTTTGGAGAGGTAGGAGGAAACTGAGGAGGGAGCAGTGACTTAGAACCCAGCAGAAGAGGATTTGGGGGAAGAAACCTAGTCCTGGGAGTCAAACAGACCTGTGATCTAATCCTGGCTTTACTGCTTGCTAGTTGTGACTTTGGGCAAGTTTCTTAACCTCTAAGCCTCTGTTTCTGTGGGATGGGATGGTTAAGATGTCATATGCAGCAGAGGAGCAAGACAGGATAGCTCAGAGCTCCTTGACTTCAAGCTCCTTGAAAGCAGGCAGTCTTCATCCAAGGCATCACCCAGCTCAATGAGTATATTTCCTAGATGAGAGAATGAGCCCAGAGAAATTAAGGAATGTCTGTCCATTCAGCCAAGTAGTGGCAGCTGAACTTCCATATCCTGACTTCAGCCTGGTGCCCACCCTTAAAAGGAAAATCTCATAAAATATTTTGAGACCTTAAATCTTTAGTCTTCACAATAAAAATAAATTTCAGCATCATTTAAAATGTTGGCTACTGCTTTTGAGTGCATAAAATGGAATTTGACATAGTGCTTTACTTGAGTGTAAACTGCTTCTCTCTGAATCTAATTTTATGATTACCTCAGTCATTTTTCATTCTTGTTTATAACTACAAACAGTGTTACACTTTCTTAGCTTCAAATCTTTCTAATATGTAGTACTTGTTATCAGGTACCAATGTACCTGCATGTTTTTGTCACCTCATACAATAAATCATAACATTTTAAAATTTAATATCTGGTAATATATAGATGAACTCTGCTATAAATAATAGATGTTTATGTAACTAGAATCATATTTTTGTGAATTAAAGAATATGTTTCTTGTTTTTTTTTTTTTTTTTAAAAGCAGGCAGTCTTAATCTCTCTATCCTGCTGCTGGGACCTCAGTGGTCAGAGCATTTTGGTACCTGGGAAGTTACTGAAGGCCTAGGGGGCATGGAGAGGGTAGAAGAGGGATGAGATGGGTGAAAGGGGTCTTTGATTATTCCTTCTGTCTGATTCCTTACCTCTGCACTGATGTCTGATTTCAGATGCTGCCATACCAACATCTTACCTCTGCTGGGCCTCTGCACTGGAAAGCAGTTCTACAGCTTGATCTACCCATACATGGCAAATGGTTCTTTACAGGACAAACTCCAGGGTCAGGTAAGCAGCTGGGTCACAAACAGAGAATAGGACCATGTAGTACCCAGTTAGAGATCCAAGGATTAAGGACTTAATGGACACCTGGTAGGGAGAGGGGTCATCCTAAGAGGCCCTTCAAGGAGAGAAGTTGGGCCATGATAGATAAGATCTGGCTAAACATCTTTAGGTAAAAACCTTTAAAACTTATTTGACAAGGGGCATTTCTTAAGTGAAGAGCAAGGCAGAGGTATCCCATAACACTAATTTTATTTAACTAATTTATTTAATTTTGTTCTGGCAGTGCTTGCCAATGCAATAGGACAAGAAAAAGAATTAAGAGATACAGAGTATGGAAAAATGGAGGCAAATTTTAAATAAAAAATGCTACTCTAATATATACCTATCTGCTTGTGCATTTATGGAATATCTCTGGAAAGGTACAAGAAACAGCTGCCTTGGCTATCTCTGGGGGGAGGAGAACTAGGTAGCTGGGGCACAGGATGAGAGGGAAACTTCTACTATATACCCTTTTGTACCTTTCACATATTGTGCATTGGGAGTTTAGTCCCATTAAAATTACAGCAAAACTCCTTCCCATAAAATCCTTAAACAGGTAAAAATGTTATTCCACAACAGAATTATTGCTTCCCTTAGCAAGGACCAGACAAAATAGTTATTCGTGGTATATAATAATCTCAGCTTTGCTGAGCTCTCACTGTGTGTGAGACATTGTGATAACAGCTTTACACATGTCTCCTTCAGGCCTTGCCACAACCTAAGAGGTCTCTCCCATATTCCAAAAGGAGTCTCTGGCACAAAGAGACAAAGTAACTTGCTTAAAGGAATACAGCTGACAAGTGTCAGGGCTAGACTTGAAATTGACTTCGTGTGGCTCCAGATTTCATAATTTTTTAGAAAAAATCTATTAGCAAGTCCAGTTCTTAGAGGATATGGGACCTAAAAGAGAACTTGAAAAGTAAGTTGTGATTTAGCCTGGAGATTCAGTCTTAGAACAGCAGTAGGAGCACCCTACATCCCCATCAGCCCTTGTGAAGTTTCCCTAAATACACACAGTTGGCATTAGCCTCAGGAGCTTGTACAAACATAAGCACTCTAGCTTCTCTCCCTCCTAGAAAAAATTCCAGAGCCGCCACTGTAATAGTCATGAGAGCAATTGCTGCTGTTTACTGAGCACTCTCTTCGTGGCAGGCACTATACTGGGGGCATTCCATACACTCCTTTGAATCCTCATAATAATCCTAAAGCATAGGGATTAGCATTTCCATTTTATATCTGAAGAAACCAAGGTTCAGAGACATTGAGTATCTTTTCCAGAGTCATGCAGCTAGGGTGTGTCTGAGCAGGGATTTACATCTAGACCTGTCTGATGTCAAAACTGGGATCCTGCCAGTATAGCACGTTGGCCAAGTCCTGTTGCAAAGGACACAAAGGTCTGGAGGGGAGGCAGAAGCCCAGGACCCTGCCACTGGGACTTGAAGAAGGCACAGATGTGACTGTTTCTCTTCTGTTTCTTTCTCTTAGGGTGGCTCAGACCCCCTCTCCTGGCCCCAGCGCATCAGCATCTGCTCAGGACTGCTCCAGGCTGTGCATTACCTGCATGGCCTGGAGATGATCCACAGCAACATCAAGAGGTGAGCGGTAGGCCAGACCCTGCTGAGGTCCTGGGCTGCAGGGAGAGACAGCACACAGGGCTGGGTCCTCTTCCTCTCCGTCTGTCTCGCTTTGGCTTTCTCTCCCACCTCACCTCCTTTGGGTCTTTTCTTTCTTATACCCTAAAAAATCAGTGTTCCTGGGTGGTACTCTGTCTCTGCTGTTAGCATGAACTCCCTACCTGTCACCACATTCATCTTTCTGAGCTGGTATTTTCCCAACAAGCACCCCATACCTCTGATGTATTCCATTTCCCACCCAGCAGCTGCTCTGGACCCAGGCCTTGAGCTTTGGGCCATGTCTGTCAAACCCCCCAGGATTTGGAGGGTCTTCTCAGAGAAGACGCCCCCTACTTGTGTATCTGTTGGCAAAAGCAGTTCGTGTGAGTGAGGCTCCTCACAGGTTAGGTGTGCACCACAGCATCTCAGTACCAGTACCACACTCCCCAAAGTACAAGACCCCCATCTCCATGAGACTGGTAATGTGGAGAGAGATTCTGGAAGATAACCAAAAAATCTGGCAAAACTGATCTCGAAACCATAGAACTCACACTTCCCTAAAGTTCTCTCTCTGTTTGACAAAGTGGAGGCCCTTTCCCCTTTTCTCTCCCCTGATTTTTATTTGATTACACAGATCATTATCATAACAAGAAAGGAAATGAAAGGGGAGAGGTCCTCCTTACCCTGCTGCCCTGACTCCTCAGCTGGCCCCCATTGTTTTCCTTTTCCAGGCTCTGCCCATGGGGAAGTCTGAGCCCAAAGGAGCACAGTTCCCTGGTTACCCCTCCATAGTCTCTTTTTTCCCCCTTCATTTAAGTGGGAAACATTTCCTCACATTGCATGTCATCATTTTTGTGACTTCTCAGTCTTAACATTGAAGGGATTTGCCCATAATTTACTTAACCACTACTTACAGTGGATATTAGAATTGGTATCTACTTTTTAAAAAACTGTTTGGTGTTAGTTTGAATATTTTTACACATAAAACTTAGTTTTTTTTCTTTGTTTTTTTCCCCTTGAGTAGCTTCTGAAAGTGAACTCTCACAGTTTAGATGACTGGGCCCAAGAGTATTTGTATTGCTCTTCTTACTCTCCTTGATCTTGGCATGTGCAGTCATAAAAGATGCTAGCATTGAGACTTGAGTCAGCTGGGCTGGAGCTGGGTGGCAGAAGCCTTGGAAGGGACCGAGCTGACATAACCTATGGCTGTGGCAAGCTGAGATTGATGATCAGGGTTGACATTTGTGGGGATCAGGATGGTTGCACCTCTTTGGCCACACCAAATGCCATTCCTGGGGCAGTACGTGTAATCTTAGCTGGGTGAGTCAGCAGGATTAATCTGACCATTTGCTGGTGGGTGTAGGCTCCCAGTGCCTTCCCTTCCTCTCAGGACTGGCTCTGAAAATCCACATTGAGGGTCTTCAGTGACCCTAACTTGCAGGGGCCAACACTGCTCCTTGCTAAGTTATTTTCCAAAGGGTGTCCATGGCAACCTCTTCTTGTCCAGCTCAAAATGAGGAGGTTCTCTTAAAACCACAGTGAGACATCACCTCATGCCAGTTAGGATGGCCAACATCCAAAAGACAAGAAACAACAAATGCTGGTGAGGGTGCGGAGAAAGGGGCAACCTCCTACACTGTTGGTGGGAATGTAAATTGGTTCAACCGGTGTGGAAAGCAGTATGGAGGTTCCTCAAAAAACTAAAAATAGAAATACCATTTGACTCAGTAATTCCACTCCTAGGAATTTACCCAAAGAAAAACAGATCCCTGATTCGAAAAGACATATGCACCCCTATGTTTATCACAGCACTATTTACAATAGCCAAGATATGGAAGCAACCTAAGTGTCCATCAGTAGATGAATGGATAAAGAAGATGTGGTATATATACACAGTGGAATATTATTCAGCCATAAAAAGAAAAGAACTCCGGCCATTTGCAATGACATGGATGGAGCTAGAGGGTATTATGCTCAGTGAAATAAGCCAGGCAGAGAAAGACAAGGACCAAATGACTTCACTCATTTGTGGAGTATAACAACAAAGCAAAACTGAAGGAACAAAACAGCAGCCGACTCACAGACACTGAGAAGGGACTAGTGGTTACCAAAGGGGAGGGGCTGGGGAAGGTGGGTGGGTGGAGAGGGGCGGAGGAGGGGATTAAGGGGCACTATAATCAGCACTCACAGTATAGGTAGGTCATGGGCAGGTTCCGTGCAGTATAGCATGGAAAAGACAAGTCATGACTCTATAGCATCTTACTAGGCTGATAGAGGGTGACACAATAGAGGGGGGTGAGGACTTGGTAATATGGGTGAATGTTGAGACCACAGTGTTGTTTATGTGAAACCTTCATAAGATTGCATATCAATGATACTTTAATTTAAAAAAAATGAGAAGGTTCTCCCTGCTTTCTCTTTCATAGCTCCAATGTTTTACTAGACCAGGACTTCACCCCGAAGCTGGCTCATCCAATGGCTCACCAGTGTCCTGTCAACAAAAAGTCAAAATACACCATGATGAAGACACACCTTTTCCAGGCCTCAGCTGCATATCTACCAGAAGATTTCATCAGGGTGGGGCAGCTCACAAAGCGAGTGGACATCTTCAGCTGTGGAATAGTAAGAGCTTCTTTCTCTGCTTAGACTTGGGCTAGAACTCACTGTCCTTTCCATGGCACCTTTGTAAGCACAGGATATAATAGAGGCTCATGAATATGTTCCATCAAAGCAGTGTAGGGGTTGACAAACTATGGCCAATAGGCCAAAATTGGCCCATGGCCTGTAACTAAGAATAGTTTTTACATTTATAAAAGATTGTATAATAATAATAATAAACAAAGAAGAATATGTGAGAGACTTGGCTTGTGGCTCACAAAGCCTAAAATATTTATTATCTACCTTGTTACAGAAAAAATTTGCCAACCCTTGAAGTAAAACCATTCTTGAGTGTCCAGATTCTGGTAGGCTACAGATAGTGTCCCCTGACTTCCCTGATTCCCATCCAGTCAGCCATCTAATTGTCTATCCAGTTGTCTATGTTTGTTCATTCATCTGTTTTGTCCATATGTCCATCCATCTCTCCAATCATCCATCTAACCATTCATCCAGTTGCCACGCATCCATTCACATCTGTCTACCAACCAACCTCCTGTCTTGCCCCACCTCCAGCCCTGCCTATCATTATTGTGTGCCAGGTGCTTGGAATATAAATGTAACCACAACACAGCCCCAGCCCCAGCTCATTATCTGAGTGAAACAGTGTTCAAAGTGTATTTCTACAGAACACCAATTCCCTGAGATCTCTATAGGTTTGATTTGTTTAAAGAGCTTTGTGGCTAAATAGGTTTGAGAAATGCTGGGTTACACAAAATCAAGCAGATTTCTTTACCACAAAATAAAGCCTTTAATCTGTAATTGTGAATTTACCACAGCTGATGGTACCTAGTATTTCCCAAATTGATTTGACTGTGGAGCCTTGTCTTCTCCCTACCTCTCAGCATCAGTGTCCCATGAAAGCCAGTCTGGGAAGTGCCGGCTGAGACAAGTGGCAGCCTTGGTTGACCTATGGTGGCTGCATGTTGGACTTTGCTCTCTCTCTTCCTCTCTAGCCTTGAACTCTGCACTTCCTCTCTCTGATCAGTCTCCCGTCTGTGTACCTCGCCCACTAGTGCTCTCCCCCCCCACCCCCACCTTCTGCCCTCAGCCCAATCTCCACATGCCTCTGTCTCCCAGCCCACCAGCTTTCTGGTTTCCTTGCCCCTGTCCTCCCCATCCTTAGTGGCTCAGTGAAGCTTGGCAGGGTTAGCTCAGGCTTCTGCCCCTTCCAGAACCTTTGGGACTGAGTCCTGAGGCTGCATGGTACTGTAGTGTAGAACCAAGAGCATGGGTTTGAGTTTAAGGCTCGGTTTAGTTAATTTTAGCGGTGTGACCTAGGGTACATCACCTGTAACTCTGGGCCTCAGATTTGTCTTCTGTAAAATGGGGGTAATGGTACATATGGGGATTAATAAGATAATGTATATGTAGCTGGTTAGCATAGCACCCTGCATAAATCAAGATTATTATTATTATTGTGGTTACTGTTATTCTTCCTTCCTTCACCCTCACTTCCGATTTCTGTTTACTCTTGGCTTTTAAAATCAGCTTTTGAATAACAGTTGACTTCCTCATTCATTTATTGCCCACTGGCTTCCTTCACTTTTTTTCTCAGTCCTACCACTGACTGCCTGATTTTGAACTTTGGTTCCTCCTGTGGGGAACACTGCATTTCTCATTGTTCTTAAGCACTGAGTGAATTCTGTAAAAGCTCCAGAACAGAGCCTGCCATGTGAAAGGGGCAGGGGAAATGTTCGTCTGTTCATTCTCCCTTGTTCTTCCTGCCCTTCCTGGCTGGAGCTGGTCAGGAGTCCCTTCTCAATTGGCTCCTAGCCACTTGCTACAGGGGTGTCCTCTACTGCCCTCTACTGGTCACTGCCCAGCCTGCTGTTAACTCTGCAGGCCCTGCCGCTGTGGGTGGAGGATATCTTGGCAGTAAAGGTGATCCTATTCTGACTTGCTTGGAGAGAGGTTGTGGGAGAGACATTTGACACTAAAGATGGGGTGCCCACTCCCTTATATTCACAAACACTAGATCATCATTTACCATATAAGGATACAGGCTCAGATTTTAGTTACTCGCCCAAAGATCACCTAAGCAAATGAGGAACTGACTCAGAATTTGGACCCAGGCCTGTCTGACTATAGAGCCCTTAATTCCTCTTCAAAACAGGTTTCCTGTTTATGAAGACACATATCACAGGTTTGTTAATTTTGTGGTGGCTAACACTGGCTCAGGGCTGTGATCCTTTTGTAAATGGATGAATTAATGGACAAATACTATTAATGAAGGCCTGTGGATGAAACATACTATAGACGTTGCTGAGACTTTCTGTATAGAATAGATATCTGCATGTGTATTCCTGCTTTTCCTGAGATTGTCATAGGAATGCCTGCTCACCACTTCTGATGGGTTTTAAAATGAAATTATCTTTAAATTATAGTGTTGTATATGTATATGTATGTGTGTATATAGATATATGTATATGTGTATGTGTACTGACGGTCCATCTTGATGGTAATACCCACGTATTTGGTTTCCATCTTCCCTGCCTTGCTATCAGTTAATTCAGACCTACCAGCAGTTGGGTGGTATGTTTAGTTGGAGGAGGTGTTTAATGTTCCAGATTTTGGGCAAGTGTCTGTGCTGGCAAATGGCAGACCTGGGTTAGAGTTCAAACTTTTTTACAGAGAAGCTTCCTTCTTGGTCAGAATATCTTGCCTGAACTTGTTTTGTGTTTGAGGGTCTGAACTGTGCTACCTCTGTGTTCTCTTCAGGTGTTAGCTGAGGTGCTCACTGGTATTCCTGCGATGGATAGAGACCGAAGCCCGGTTTACCTGGTAAGGGAGAGCAGTCGCTTCTGGCTCACAGCTTTGCCTCCACTGTACCCATTTTACAGATGTGAATGAGACTTCAGTCTAGGGTTTGATTTGCATCTGTGCAAAGTAGCTTTAACCTGCACCCCTCACCAGCTAGCCAACAATTACTTTTTCATGATAATATAATTTGGAATGTTTAAAGGCAACCCATTTTCTCTCTCTACACATCAGGTGATCAAATAAGGGTTTGTCTTCAAATTGGTAAAAGTTAATTTGAGCCCTTTTGAACAGGTTTCTATAATGAAGACAATTTCTATTTTGTAGGTTGAAGAAACTCTCATTCACATATATATGTACTATAAATATATATATATTTACATACACACACATATATAGTATGGATATGTATATGTGTGTACATATATAGAGAGAGTCATTTTAAAATTAAGAAATATAACAACGCAGCCTGACTGTGTTTGACATTTTATGTATATTTCTAAATCATCTCAAAATGCCCATGAAATTGATAGGGTCATTATTTCATCTACAAATGAGAAAAGCAGACTCTGAAGTTTTCTTGAGGTCTCAGCTTTAGTAAGTGTTAGAGCTGGAATTCTGAGTCAGGCCTTCTGGATTGCAGATCCTGAGTCTTAACCCTGATGCTCTCCTGACTATTAATTCTCAAGACAGTTCAAACATATGAAATTATTAAATCCCCATTTTACAGATGAGAAATCTGTACATGTATGTAGTGAAGAGACTTGTCTCATGCCTCCCAGTAGGATCAGTGGTGGAGCTTGGATTTGAACCCATATCTTCTGCAGAATTCCAAATCCTGTGTAAGCTTTAGTCCTCTTCTTCAGTTTGAGAGGGGAACACCTTTTCTGACTTGGCGTTGGGGCCATTGGAGCAGTTGGCTTTTTGTGATTTGGCCCGAAAATCATCCCTTGGGCTCTGGGGTGGGGAGCTGAAGGCCTCCCCTGAACACAGGAAGTCCTGACATGTCTCTTTACTGAACTCCCATGCTCAGCCCCTTGTGGGCCGTGGCCCCCTGGTACTGCAGGGGAGTCAGTCTGGGCAGCATGGGTGTGGTTTGGGGCAATTTGGGGTGGTTTCTCATATTCTGACAGTTTCCTCAAGATGCATTCCTCACCAGTCCCCTGGAGCACGTGGGGTGAATGTCACAGGAAAAGGAGCCTTTAGAGATGAGTGAAATTTCTAGAAAACTTTTTTGTGAATGGTTTCTAAAAAATGGAGGATATAATTTTTTTTTAATTTAGTTTATTTCTCTTCTAGACCCAAATATGTCTTTATCTCTCCTATTGTGGTACATGCACAATTAAGATCTTAACTTGAGCATGTGATTCAAAGATTCCAGTGAGAGGCGAAAGCTGCAGACACCTAGTGTAGTCCAGGTGGGGGGAAACAGGCCTCTGCTCCACATAAGAGGTGTGCTCATGGCTGCAGTGTTTTCAGTCACGGGGTGGTTTCTATCAAAATGCAAAAGGTGTGTGTCCTCTGATGCAGCAATTTCACTTGTACATAGGGAAGTGAACATTAAACAATACCTAAAGTACCTAATACTATAACATAATAAGCACTACATGTGTGAGCTATTATTATTATTACTATCATTTTAATAGCTCTTAGAGTGTTTGCTACTATAGTTATTATATATACATAAATATATAACTGAAGTTATTGGTGCTATAGACTTTGTAGCAGAAAGTCTAGAATAATATATTCCAAACCATTGGCAGGGTTACCTTTGGTCTCCAGTGGAAATGAGAGGAAAGGTTGACTTTCATGGTAAAACTTCAATCACTTCTGTTTTAATTTTTAGCAAAAAGTGTTTGTAACAATCTGCTTTTGTAATAATAATTTCTACCTAATTAACATTTTAACTTTAAAGAATCTGCATACTTTGCTCAGAAAACCCAACCGTGCAGGGTGGTGATTCCATGCCTCTCCACTCCCCTTCTTTGGCCTGCCCTCAGGGGTGGCCCCTTCTGGAAAGCCCTTTTTGCTATGGATAATTTCAAGCATACACAAAAGTAAAGAGAAGAACATAAGGAATCTCCACATATCTATCCCATCAATTACCAACGTCATGCTTTTTGAAATGTCTTTTGCATCCAAAAAACTTGTTTTATGTATGTATTTTAAAGTATATCCCAGATCCTCTGTTATTTCATCCATTAAAATGGAGTTCTTGTATTGCCTTAATATCATTCCATATTTAGATTTAATACCCATTCCATATTTAGATTTCCAAAATTTTCTCAGAAATTGCGTTTTAAAGTTCGTCTGTAAAACTGGTCCAAACAAGGTCCACATTGCCTTTGGTTATGCTTCTTAAGAATCTTACTCTCTAACTGCACCCCACCTTTTTTTTTTCCTTTTGCCTTTTTGCATAAAGTAGGTCATTTGTACTATAGACTCTTCCGTTCCAGATTTTGCTGATTATGCCCTTGTTTCTCCATTCTTCATGCTTCCTGTACTGTGGTAGTTAGCTCTTGAGACTTGATTACAGATTCGTGGTCAGTGGTACTTCCTCGATGGTTCTGGGTGCTTGCCATTGCATCATGCTATGAAGTGCGTAGGAGATCATGCTACTTTCAGTGCTAAGATTTGTCAGTGGGTTCAAATGGAGTTGCTGATTGTCTCCATTACTAAGCGTCCTGTCCCCATCCCGTCACACTCCCTCTTCCCCACAGGATTCCCTGAGTGCTCTTAGCATTTCAGGAGGACTGTTGGTAGATGACATCTGTGATTTCATTGCGGGCAGTCAAAGAGTGAGCTTCTCACTTGTATCATTCTTTCAGGGCAGTCCCTTTGAACGGTTTCTTATGCTGTTTCAAATGGCTGTAAAGTCCATAGCTGCAAACAATACACTTCTGTTGTTCCTTATTGATTTACCAGCTTTAGACACCATTACACTTTTTAAAAAGATAAACACTTAAAAGGCAGGGCTCACATGAGAGAATTATGCAAAAGGGTATTAAAAAAATGCAACCCTTGCCAGCTGGAGGTTTTTAGTCTCCAGGTATTGAATTCCTGACGATGTCAGATGTGTAGGTATTATTGGATCCATTTTCTGGATGAGGTAACTCTTGCAGAGTGGGGACTGTTTTGTTTTGTTTTTGAAGCAAATATCACAAACCATGTCTGAAAATCTTTGATAAACTTTTTTTCTGAATTGTAAATGTGTGAAAAATGGTGTAAAGACAATGAAAAATTTATTTACATATAATGAGTCATTTCTATTAAAAGTAATAAAATTATATTAAAAAAGGTAAAACTTAGCCAAAAAAATAAATCACTATATACAATTTGTGAAAATATTCATGAAACGCTTACTATGTGCCAGGCACTGTCCATGGTGCTGGGGATACAAAGGTGAAAAAATTTCTGCCCTCATGGAGCTGTCATTCTAGTGGGGAAGAACAAATGATATTCAAGTAAATGAAAATATGTGTAATTTCAGGCCAGTGGTATGTGCTAATGAAGAAGAAATGAAGTTAGAGGATAGAGTGAAGGAGTTGGGGGAGGGCTATTTAGGTGAGAGAAGGCTCTTGGAGAAGGTGACATCTGAGTAGAAACTAATGAAGTGAGGGACCAGGACATGGTAAAACGAAGGAGGTGCAGTGTAGGCAGAGGGAACAGCAAGTGCAAAGGCCCTGAGGCAGGATGAGCTCGGGCTTCCAAGAACAGAAAGAAGCAGAGTGGCTGAGTACAGTAGTTAGAAATAGAGAGGGAGGAGAGGGCATGGGAAAGGTTGGCAGGTGCCAGACTTTTGTGGCAGGTGTTGCAAAATATGGGGTTTCTGAAGGTCATAGTTAAGAGATGGGAAATATAGGACATCAGGGACCCTTGATGTTAAAAACAAACACACATAGAAGAAATCTTTTAACTTTTTTTTCTAATTATCCATGGAAGACAGGCTTGTAGAACATTTAGTAAATGTAGGAAGGTATAAAAAAGAAAAGAATCATTCTGAGATAACCACTGTTAGTATTTGGCAACCTGCCTTTTGGTCTTTATGTGTGTGTGTGTGTGTGTATATAGTCGTATTATTTATATATTTACATTTAAATATATATATTTATATTTTGTATTATTTATAGCATGGGTTTCCATCAATACTTGCATTTTATGTAGTATAAAATACTATACAATATTTATATTTAATGCATAAGCAAACAGTATAAAACAAAGTGCATTGAAATATTCATATTACACATGTAACTGTATAAAATACTATATATTCTGTGAAACATAATTACAAATATGTACCGATATAACTGCTTACATAATATATATGACACATAGAATATGAATGGAAAATTTGTTATATTATTTACATGAATATACCACAAATATAAAAATAAACATAAATGTTTCATGTCAATCTATTAGATTAATACACTATATATTATATCAATTTTAGATATAATTATATTACATATTTTCTTATAGTTAATAGTTAATGAATATAGGTATTTAGTATATTTGTAGCATAGTGATATTTTAAATATGTAATATATATGTATTAAATATATTTTTGATCATGTAATTTATAAATATTATTTATATAGCATAATTTCTGCTATAAGCATAGTTGATTTCTGCTTTCTATGTAGTGTAAAATGTTATAAAACATGTAAATACAAAATTTATAAAATATGTGAATATACATAACAATGTAAATAGATCTATTAAATATTTATGGATCAGAATCGTACATCCTAAAATGTTTATTTCATATAAGATTGTCCCTGTAGTTAAGATCAAATTATTAATATAAATAAAGTGCTCAGCATGTAAGTACTACATAAATAATAGCTGTTATTGCTATGAATTATCACTACTACACTATTGAATGTTTATTCTGTGTCAAGTAGCACACTTTATGCTTTAGATGCATTAGATCATTTACTCTGTGTTAGTCCTATAGTCCCCATTTTCCTGAGGATGCAAGCCAGGCCTGGAAAGGCTAAACCGCTCAGTTTGTGGTGTGAGCGCCTGGTGTGAGGCATGCCCTGTACGGACAGTGTATTTAGCAATTCTCCAGTTCTTGGCTGTTTCACTTGATTCTTGGATCCTTGCATTTATTTTTAAAAATCCCCATGGGTTTCTGAGTTTCTGCAGCTCGGGTGTGGGTATGGAGGTGGGTGGGGCACGTGCTTGGACCCACATCCCTGCAGCTCCCATATGGGTGTTTCCGCTCTTCTTCCCGCAGAAGGACTTGCTCCTCAGTGAGATTCCCAGCGGCAGCACCTCGTTGCGCTCCAGGAAGACTGGCGTGGAGAAAGCGATGGCTAAGGAGATCTGCCTGAAGTACCTGGAGAAGAGAGCAGGCCAGCTGCCGGACGACTGCGCGGAGGCCCTGGCGGCGGCGGCCTGCCTCTGCCTGCGCAGGCGCAACGCCAGCCTGGCGGAGGTGAGCCTCTTTCGCCGCCTTCCCGCAGCGATGAGCCTGCCCTGGGGCCGCGTGGGTCTGCTATGCCAATCGGAGCTCACTTCAGGAAAACAGAAGTTTATGGATAAGGGGGTCCCAGGAGCCTGATGGTCCCGTGCCGCTGGCCTCAGGGGGCCCGCGACCACACCCTCGGATATTAACAGAACTCTGTCTTTAAGCTATTTCTGAAAATACTTTGTTCCTCCCCTTACGTCCGTACATCCCCCTTTCTCTTTTCCTCACTACTTTCGGTCAAAGAATATGGTCATACGCATATATGTGTTACTTAGTTCATACTATACGGTTATATAGTTCCTCAGTGCTAGAAGCTGATTGGTCTGGCTAGGGTCCGGTGTCTGCCCATTGGCCAATCAGGTAAGGTGAGGGAGGGGTGTCCAATATATAAATTTGGTGAACCCTTGGAAAATGGAGCGGACAGGTCCTAGAGAAACGCAGTATCCTTAATCCAAGGATTAGGCAGACATGCCAGAAATCAACCACCACAGGGGATAAGACATTTTCCTATTGATATGTCACGTAGAGTTAGTTTCCATGGTAACAGGCGTAAATTTGAGGACACTGCAAGGTCTAAGGACAAAATAACTGCCTGAGAGGGCTCTTAGAGATGATCTAGCTGAGTGCTTGAGACTACCTCAGGAATTGCTATAGGCAACAAGATGGTTGGGAAGCTGCAGGCCCCACCCATGACTCCAACCAGACACCCCCTTAAACTTCCCATAATTATATGGGGTTCTCAGTGTTGTATTTGAGGAAAGGGTTTGGTGGCTGAAAAATATCTTCAAACACCACTGCTATAGCCCAAGCTTCCTATTTTACATCTGAGGAAGTAAAGGCCCAGCCAGAAGAAGAGGAGACTACACAGTGCCGTTTCGGTCAGATCTTTCCAGATTTCTGGTTCTTGTCCACCATCTTGCTCCGTAAGGAGCAAGAGTTAAGAACTGAGTCATGGTAGGAGCTAAAGACCTGAGTCATGTTCCAAGTATGGGCTATTCTCCAAGTGCCCGACTGGCACAGCATTCAGTCATTCATTTAGCAGCTGTATGCTGGGCCTGGGGGATAAATCAGTGAACAAGGTAGGCCCAGTTCCACTTACCTGGAGCTCACAGACAATGCACGGTAATCATCTGTGTGGTAAGCACAGGGATAGTGTATGATTGGGTCCCACTCAGGAGGACTTTCCAGAGGAAGGGATGTGTAAACAGATGAAGAGCAATCCAAGCAGAAGGAACAGCTCAGGCAAATGGCCTGAGTTGAGAGAGAGCTCTGCAGGGTCAAGGGCCTGGAAGAATGTCAGAATGGCTGGAATGCAAAGTACTTGGGGAAGAGTGGTTGGTGATGAGGCTGCTGAGGAATGAGAAGCCCAGTAATGTAATCGAGGGCTTTGCTGGCACAGGCCAGATTTGAGGAAGTCAGTGAGGATTTAAAGCAGGGGTGGGACATAATCAGATTTATGTTCTGAAAAAAATCATTTTCACTCAACTACTTATTCTGTCATTCAGGCTTTCATCCCATTCATTTAATTCTTTTGTTTTGGACTTTTGAAGCTGCTATAATGAAGAGACTCCAAAAGGCAGTAGTTTAAATGAGACAGAAGTTTATTATTTTTAGCTTAACAGTTTGAATGTAGGCAATTCTGAGTGTATGTAGCAGAGCCACAGTATTGGAGTCCCAGGCTCTTACATTGTTTCTCTGCTTCCTTGCTGTGTACTTCTGTTTTAGAATCCAAGAGGCTGCTTTAGTTCATGCCATTACATCTGCATTCCAGCCACTGAAAGGGAGTTAAAAGGTAAAGGAGAATATATCCATTTCCTTTTAAAGGTGTGACCTGGAAATCCATACATCACTTTTTTCACACCCTGTAGACCAGAACCTAATTACATTGCCAAAACACCTAGCTACGAGGGAATGTAGTTTTAGCTTGGCAAATATTTATTGGCATATACTGTGAAGATTTTTCTTAAGATGTGACATTTGAACTGGGCCTTGACGGATGAGGAGGCATGTACAATGTAGAATAAAGGAGATAGGGCACTTTAGGTATACAAAGAAGAATGAGAAATGGTCCTTGTCCCCAGTATTTTTTTTTTTTGGTATCATTAATCTACAATTACAAGAGGAACATTATGTTTACTAGACTCCCCCCTTCACCAAGTCCCCCCCACATACTCCATTAGTCACTGTCTGTCAGCATAGTAAGATGCTGTAAAATCACTACTTGTCTTCTCTGTGTTGCACAGCCCTCCCTGTGCCTCACCCCTACATTATACATGCTAATCGTAAGGCCCCCTTTCTTCTCCCCTGGCTTCTCCCTCCCTTCCCACCCATCCTCCCCAGTCCCTTTCCCTTTGGTAACTATTAGTCCATTCTTGGGTTCTGTGATTCTGCTGCTGTTTTGTTCCTTCAGTTTTTCCTTTGTTCTTATATTCCACATATGAGTGAAATCATTTGGTACTTGTCTTTCTCCGCCTGGCTTATTTCACTGAGCGTAATACCCTCTAGCTCCATCCATGTTGTTCCAAATGATAGGATTTGTTTTCTTCTAATGGCTGAATAATATTCCATTGTGTTTATGTACCACATCTTCTTTATCCATTCATCTATTAATGGACACTTAGGTCACTTCCATGTCTTGGCTATTGTAAACAGTGCTGCAATAAACCTAGGGGTACATATGTCTTTTTCAAACTGGGCTGCTGCATTCTTAGGGTAAATTCCTAAGAGTGGAATTCCTGGGTCAAATGGTATGTCTATTTTGAGCTTTTTGAGGAACCTCCATACTGCTTTCCACAATGGTTGAACTAGTTTACATTCCCACCAGCAGTATAGGAGGATTCCCCTTTCTCCACATCCTCGCCAACATTTGTTGTTGTTTGTCTTTTGGATGGTGGCAATACTTACTGGTGTGAGGTGATATCTCATTGTGGTTTTAATTTGTATTTGTCTGATGACAAGCGATGTGGAGCATCTTTTCATGTGTCTGTTGGCCATCTGAATTTCTTCTTTGGAGAAGTGTCTGTTCAGATCCACTGCCCATTTTTTAATTGGATTGTCCACTTTTTGTTTGAGGTGTGTGAGCTCTTTATATATTTGGATGTCAACCTTTTATAAGATCTGTCATTTATGAATACATTCTCCCATACTGTAGGATGTCATTTTGTTCTATTGATGATGTCCTTTGCTGTACAGAAGCTTTTCAGCTTGATATAGTCCCACTTGTTCATTTTTGCTTTTGTTTCCCTTTCCTGGGGAGATATGTTCATGAAGAAGTCACTCATGTTTATGTCCAAGAGATTTTTGCCTTTGTTTTTTTCTAAGAGTTTTATGGTTTCATGACTTACATTCAGGTCTTTGATCCATTTTGAATTTACTTTTGCATATGGGGTTAGACAATGATCCAGTTTCATTCTCTTACATGTAGCTGTCCAGTTTTGCCAACACCAGCTGTTGAAGAGGCTGTCATTTCCCCATTGTATGTCCATGGCTCCTTTATCGTACATTAATTGACCATATATGTTTGGGTTAATGTTTGGAGTCTCTAATCTGTTCCATTGGTCTGTGACTCTGTTCTTGTGCCAGTACCAAATTGTCTTGATTACTATGGCTTTGTAGTAGAGCTTGAAGTTGGGGAGCAAGATCCCCCCCACTTTATTCTTCCTTCTCAGGATTCCTTTGGCTATTCAGGGTCTCTGGTGGTTCCACATGAATTTTAGAACTATATGTTCCAGTTCGTTGAAGAATGCTGTTGGTAATTTGATAGGGATTGCATTAAATCTGTAGATTGCTTTGGGCAGAATGGCCATTTTGACAATATTTTAATTCTTCCTAGGCAAGAGCATGGGATGAGTTTCCATTTGTTTGTGTCCTCTTTAATTTCTCTTAAGAATGTCTTGCAGTTTTCAGGGTATAGGTCTTTCACTTCCTTGGTTAGGTTTATTCCTAGGTATTTTATTTTATTTTGTGCAATTGTGAATGGAATTGTTTTCCTGGTTTCTCTTTCTATTAGTTCATTGTTAGTGTATAGGAATGCAACAGATTTCTGTGTATTAATTTTGTATCCTGCCACTTTGCTGTATTCTGATAGCAGTTCTAGTAGTTTTGGAATGGAGGGTTTAGGGTTTTTTATGTACAATATCATATCATCTGCAAATAGTGAGAGTTTGACTTTTTCTTTACCGATCTGGATTCCTTGTATTTCTTTGTTTTGTCTAATTGCTGTGGCTAGGACCTCCAGTACTATGTTGAATAACGGGGAGAGTGGGCATCCCTGTCTTGTTCCCGATCTCTGAGGAAATGCTTTCAGCTTCTTGCTTTTCAGTAAGATGTTGGCTGTGGGTTTTTCATATATGACCTTTATTATGTTGAGGTACTTGCCCTCTATACTCATTTTGCTGAGAGTTTTTATCATGAGTTGAATTTTGTCCCCTCTCCCAGTATTTTGTAACCACAGTAGGAAGATGAGAGATCAACTGGGTCACGGACTTGAAGACAAGCAGGCCTAGATTTAGCAGTCAGCTGTGCTACTCACTGGCTGAATTGCTTTAGGCAGGGAACTTAACCTCCCTGATCTTTTAATTTTTTATTTATGAATACCCATTGTGCTTCTTGTGTCAAATGTGCTTTTTAAATTGCAAGGTACTGAGCAAATGAAATCTGTTATTGTTAGTAAAGATATGTCTATGTGCCCTTTATGTGTGTTTGTGCGTGTGTGTTTAGAAGAAACATTCCTTCCCTACCTCCAATTTTCCTAGGCTTTGTAACCAGAAATCCTACAAGAATCGTATCAATATTACTTAGGGAATTTCTAGTCGAAAGTGATAAAACTCAATTCATATTCTTAGACACACACACACACTTACACACCCCAAAAGAAATAAAGAGGGAGAGATAAGGAGAATATAACTGAGTGGAATGAATAAATAAATAAATAAATAAATTTATTGCCGTATTTATATTTAACCAAACAGCAGACAGGATAGGCATTGCTTGGGCAGCTGGACCCAGACCCAGGGGCTCAACAAGCAAAAGTGCAAGGCTCTTTGTCTCTGTGCCCGTGCCTCTCTTTCTCTATCTCTTGCCTCTGCTCTATTTGTGGGGGCTATTTGTACCTTCCATAAATGGGTCTTATGTACATGGTGGGGAGTCTGGCTGTGGCACTAGGAAGAAGAGGGCCAATCTTTTCTCAACAAGATTTAGGTGGCAAAATCCCAGAGAAGGAACACCTGGGCCAATCATGAAGGACAGAGGAATGGGATACTAGGGTTGGTCGTCTTGGTTATGTGCTCTCATCTATGGTGAGGATGGATGGGGGCAGGTTCAGTTCTTTTCAAATGAGGGATGCACTTTTTTCAAACAAAGCAACAAGTATTTGATTCTTCAGTGTCTTTTCCTCCTGAGGAAAAGATTTTTATTTCAGAACGAGTTTTGGTGAGTGCTCTTGTCTCTCTCCTCCCTAAGGTTTGTAGCTCTGTGGCCTCTGTGGAAGAGCAGCTCAGAGATCAGGAGACAATGCTCCCTTGGAGTGGGCTTTCCGTGGGCACAGGTTCTTCTTCCAACACCCCAGAAGAAACGGATGATGTGGATAATTCCAACCTCGATGCCTCCTCCTCCATGAGAGCAGTGCCCGGGGCTGGGGCTGCCGCCTCGCCTTCCCCGACAGAGGATGGAGAAGGCAGGCCACAGGCTGGCGAGGTAAAGCAGGCTGACTCTTCCTCTGAGGCCTGTGCCAGTTTGGAGGCTGCCCAGGATGGTAAGTGTGTGGAGGTCTGAGTACTTCTACACACTCATTCATGTGTACCTATCTCAGCCCATCATTATGCCTTCCATTTCCTTAATTCACTCATTCATTTGGTTATTCAGCCTTTCACCTACCAGCTGACTGCACAAAGAGAAATCTGGGGGAGTCTTCCTTGACAATCCTCTCCTGGGGCCCCCTACTTCCAATCCAGCATCCAGTCTTATCTATTTGCCTAAATATTGCTCAGCTCCATCTGCCTCTCAATTGTCCTTCCTCATTTAAGCCACTATCCTCTTGCTGGATCACTGCCCAGCCTCCCTATGTCCTCCCTGATCCACATAGTCCCTTTCTCCACCAGTCCTTTCTCCAGGGGCCAGCCAGAGTGGTTTTTAAAGCCATGCCACATTTAGGGACCAAGTCAAAATTCTTCCTCAGGACCAGCAAGGCACTCTGGGGGCCGTCCCTGCCCACCTTTCCATCCTCACTTCACAAACACGAAAACCCTGTCCTTGCCAGCTGCTTCTAAAGATACCTTCTTCCTCAGCCTTCTGGTCCAAATACACCAGGCTTCCTTCTGAAATAAAAATTCAGAAATAAAAATTTGTAATGGAGTGTCCTCATCCTCTAGTAAACATGCTTTAATGAATGTCCACCTGGTTCTACCACTCCTATTGCTGCTACTTCCATGGGGAGGAGAAAGGTAGGAGGGAGTGTATGCGCCCAGGCCCCCCATGGGGAGGGGTGTGGCGGCCCCCTCCTCTCTAAAAGGTAGGGACAGGTGACAGGGCTTCCCTGCAAAGGCAGAAATGATGAAAATGCTCATTACACTGAAGGGCCTGATTCAGACACCTGATTCAAGGGAAGAAACTCTGACCAAGTCTGACTTTCTAAGAATTATAATATTTCAAATTGCCATTTGTTCATGTTGGCTTTTTTGTACTTTCTGTTGAACATTAGCTACAGAGACTTCGTGGAAAATTGATATCAATGAGGCCAAAAGGAAACTGATGGAAAATATCCTGCTCTACAAAGAAGAAAAGTTGGACAGCATTGAGCTTTTTGGCCCCTGATGAGTAGAACACAGCCGAGGATGCTTGTGCTCAATCATAAAGATGACTCCAAGTCCAGAAAAAGATCTGAGGCAGACTCAAAATCTCCCAGGAAAAACCAAACATCAGCTTTCCCAGCATTGTGGGGGTGGTGCTGAGAAACTTCCATTTTATCAGCAGGAGTTAGGGGAGAAGGGATCTCAGCTTTTAGAGACACAAAAATCCAAGAAGTTCTCTTCCTTTCTGGGATTTGTCAGTCACAGCTTGGTATCAGGAGACTGAAATAGAAACAGTGGTACAGGGCCCAGGATGTGGGTGATTTTGTGGTTCCGGGGAGCATGTGACGAGAACTACCCCAGCAATGCTGTGCCCACTCTCACAACTTCTATCGACAGAGCTTCCTGCAGTGCCGATAGCACTTTCCAAAGTTAAGATCTCTGGGTCATACATATTTGCCAACAGCTGCCTGCAAACTTCCGCAACCTGACAGATTTTCAACTTGTGTTCCAATGCAGTTCTAAACTCCTGTCACCAGGTTGCAGGTTTTACAAATGCCAGGCACCCGGCAAAGGGCTCTGTAGGGTTTTCTGTTTTCTTTGTTGGAAATCTTGCAACCCACAGATACTTATTTAATGCCCACTCAGCACCATTATCCTCCCATACCACTAATGCTAGTATTTTTAGTGGACCTTTATGTGTATTATTTATGACTGGATAAAGAATCAGAAGTAGTTTCATGTCTGATTCTGCTGCTATTTAAGTTGCTCAATTTCTGGAACCTGTTTTCTTGTAAGTAATAACACTGGTGTCCCTCTCCAGGCTGTTGGGAAGAACAGGTGAGATGGTGACAGAAGTACTTTAAAATGCATTTGTCCTGTTTTATAAAATAAAAAGACATTAAATGTATATTTCTGCCGTGTACCTAACCTTTATGCAGTGGGTATATTTCCGAAAAGTCATGCTGCAGATCTTTTTGTGAAACAAATGTTAAATACAGTGTGTCCTATTTTAAATAATCCTACTCTAGTGATTTTTTTTTAGTAAAATAAAAATAGATTGGTAAAGTCAACAAATATCTTGTAATTAGTTTTGTGTCCAGATGAATTTGTTTGGAGAAGGTGCTCTGCACCAAGGGGTATAGTAGGGTTGCTAAGAGATTGGGCGCTGGCTGTAAACGCTGGCTGTTAACAGCTGTGTGATCTTGAACCAAGACAGGAAGTTACTCTGGGCTTCTGTTTCTTCATCTATACAATGGGGAGAATAAAAAGTACCTGTTTCATGGTTTGTTGTCAGGGCAAGGGGTGAATTCTGCCTGGTGAAAGCATTCAGCAGCCCCCCAAGTAAGGTTTGCTTTGTGCTGGTATGTTACAAAACAAGGTGGGCTCCACCCCAGGCAAAGTCATCTCTGCTAACACCCGTCTTAAGCTCTGGTGGCTGTGATGATTCACACAGAGTGTGTGCCACTTGCTCCAGATAGGACCTGGTATGTGGTAAGCACCTTACAATTATGAGCAATAGAAGGCTGATGCCTATAGGATACTGGTTATCCACACGTATTTGCATTTCCAGACCAGGGCTTCCTGTGTCTCTGGAGAGGTAAATGGAGAACTTTGAGAATCTGATGAAAGCTATGGACCTCCTCCCTTCAGCAAGCTGTAAATACATATATATAACAATTCTGTATATGAATTCCAGGGGTTCATGGGCACCACAGTGTCTTTTCATTAATCCCATTAGGGAAGGCCTGATGTTTCTTTTTAAGTTAATTAGATGCACATGACCAAAAAACCCAAACAGTATAAAATGTTACGTCATGGAAAGAAAGCTTTCCACTTCAATAAGATCTTAGTCTCTTATTTCTTCTCCCCAGAGCAACCACTGTTACTAGTTTGGGGTATCCTTCCAGAGATGATAAAAACTTTTAAAATCTTTTTAATCATTAGGGAAATGCAAATCAAAACCACAATGAGACACCATTTCACACCTGCTCAGATGACTAGAATAAAAAAAATAGACAACAATAAGTGTTAACATGAATGTGGAGAAATTGGTGGAATTGTAAAATGCTGAGTCACTTTGGAAAAACAGTTTAGCAGTTCCTCAAAAGGTTTAAACATAGTTCCCATATGACCTAGCAATTCAATTCCTAGATATCTAAGAGAAATGAAAAGATACATGTTCATATTACACACCCGTGTTCATAGCAGCAATATTCCTAATAGCCAAAAAGTAGAAACAAGCCCAAGTGTCAATCAATGGATGAATGAGTAACAGAATGTTCAATATCCATATAATGTAATATTATTCCATAAAAAAGAATGAAGTACTGATACATGCTACAACATGGATGAACCTTGAAAAGATTATGCTAAGTTCAAGAAGTCCATCATTTATTGTGATCACATTTTTACAAAACATCCAGAACAGGCAAATCTATAGAGACAGAAACTAGCAGTGGGGGCTGAGGGTTAGGGGAGGATTTTAGGAGGTGACTGGTAATGGTCATAAGATTTGGAGTGATGAAAATGTTCTAAAATTATATTATGGTTATGGCTATATAACTAAATATACTAAAACACCATAAAATTATACACTAAACCATTTTATATACTATAAAACCTCTGAATTATATATGGGTGAATTTTATGGTATATGAATTGTATCTCAATGAAGCAGTTAGAAATACAAATACACAGAGGTTATTCTCAGTAAAATTTTTTATCTTGAGGCTCCACTTATTATTTTATTAAATAATAATTATCATTATTATTTTGCTACACATAGTATTTCATTACCACTGTTCTGGAGCCTGTTTTTCACATCTGTCTTGGTCATTCTTCCTCAAGAATACTTTTGAAGGATTCTTTTTTCTGGCATTTCATTGTATGGATATTCCATAATTTATAATAATAGTTTCCATTGCTGGATATTGAGATTTTTTTTTCTTGCTGTTACGAACAGTGCGGCCTTTTAAGTAGGTACTAATTTACACATCAAGTCCATCAGTGAAGTATGCGACTGCATTTCCCCAAATGTTCAGTTACTTAATAATATCATCATGTCTTTTGGTCATTGCCGATCTAATCGGTGAAATCAATTTATTTGTGCTTTTTAAACCACTGAGGTGGAGCCACTTTTTCATATGTTAAAGAGTCGTTGCGAATTGTTTCTTTCTGTTCGTTGGTTCATTTCCTTTGCTCATTTTAATACCGAATTATCTGAAAATTTTTACATAGTAAGGACATCAGCGCTGTCAGGTGTCATGAAAATTTTTCTAAGTTTGCACCGTATCTTTTAACTTTGATACTTTTTTCCGGGCGGATATTTTAATTTTCAGTCTTTTTTTTTGTGGGCTTCTAACTTCTAATTCCAATTCTGCCTCTTTCTGGGTGTGTCACTTGGTCTCTCTGAGCCAGTTTCCTGTTCTGTAAATGGGGTGATGACCCTGGCGTGGGGTCACGAGAGAATCCGGGTCTGAAACCGTCCAGCGAAGGGTGCCAGGGTCCAGCCGCAGGGTGCACCGCAGCGCCCCCTGCCCCAACGGAAGCCAGGCCTGGGGAGAGCCGCGGCCTTGCCCCAGCTTCGCGCTCTTCGAGCCCACGTGATGGCTCCGCCCCACCTAGCTTCCGACCAATGCTTCCAGGCCTCCTAACCAACAAGCGAGCTCCGTCTTGCTCGGAGTCCCGCCCCTTGCCGGCTTGAGCAATGGGAGCCCTCCTTTAGGCGCAGGACCCGCCCCCGCCGCACGCTGGGCGGTGGGCCGCAGGGCTCGTTCCGGGAGGCGGGCGCGACGGAGGCCAGTGTGGCTGGGTCTTGGAAAGGGGGGCAGCAGTCGGGGGCTGCAGAACTCCGGCGGGCGGCGAGCGGGCGGCCGGGGCGGGACGTTTGCTAGGTGGGGGCTGTGGGGCCGACGGTTGGGCCGCGGCGGCAGGGACGGAAGGGGCGGCCGGCGGGCCGGGGTAGCTCTGAGGAGCAGACTAGGGCCCTGCCGATTCCTGAGGGGCGGCTCGGGCCCCTTGGGCCCGGGGCTGGTCGGCGGGGCCGAGGGAGCTGGGCGGGCTGCGCTCCCGGTTCGGCCCTGCCCTGCGGCCCGCCCTCAGCGTTTCGGGCCTCCGGGCCTCGCGCCCGCCCAAAGACTGCATGTCCGGTCGCCATGTGTGGTGTGAAGCGCTTTGACATCTCTGAAGGGCTTTGTAGTCCTGGAAGCGCTTTGACATCTCAGAAGTAGCGCTGTGCAAACTGAGGCGCTTGGTAATCGCGAAAGCACGTTGCGGGCTTGGAAACCGAACCGACGCCTTTAGTGTAGCTTAGATCGTTGGACTTCTCCGAAGCGCGTTGGCATCTCTGAAACCTTGAGAACTGTGATGGGCAGTGGAAAGAAGGGGGAAAGGTCAGTGAGGCCAGCCCCTGCCTCCGCCACCGCCCTTCTGGCTTATCCCCTCCCGAGGGCCCCGGGATAGCGGGAGTCTGCGGAGGGGCAGCCTGGAGGGGTGGTGTTGGAATCCAGGTCCCCTTCTGGTATCTTGCAGGTGCCCATGGCGTCGGAGAGGCGCAAGGTCAAGTACCACTGGAGCAGCACTTCGGAAGGGTGTCCCCGCAAGCGCAGCTGCCTCCGGGAGACCAGTGATGTGGCCGCCTCCGGCCGGCCAGCTCATGATGGCTCTGTGTTGCGTTCAGGAGGGGCCAGCAGCCCCAAGCGCCTGAAAGCCCAAGAGGAGGACGATGTGGCCACGCCGAGGTTGTCCTGGGGCTCATCCCGCCGCAGAAATTCCTCCTCCTCCTCCCAGTCCTCCGGCCCGAGTGTGGGCGGGGTTGCCTCCAAAGGCTGCCTGATTCAGAGCGCACGGGGGTTTATTTCGTCAGGGGGATCCCCTCTTCGCCCTGTCAACCCCTCTCTAGAAGAAATGGCTTCTCTAGAAGAGGAAGCCTGCAGCCTTAAGGTAGGTGGCTGCAATGCTTTTGCAACAGGTGAAGCCCCTTCCAGGGCATGAGAAGTTGGGGATGGGAATTTTGGTGAAATGAGACTAAAAAAGGTATCGGTGGCTTCTTCATACAAACCCAGAAGACGAAGTAGATGGCCAGGGATTTGGCAACACTTTAGAACTATTTGGAAAGCTTTAAAAAATACTTGTGCTCATCCCCCACCCCACCCCCCTTAATTGGGCGGGGGTGGGTAGTTTGGGCTTCCAGATTTTTAAAATGCTCCTCAGGTAATTGTATTGTGCAGCCAGGTGGGAGAGTGACTTCAGTAGAAGGTGGATTGAATGCTTGAGAGACACATGTACTTGTTTTAGTTATAAATTTAAGGTTGTCTTGCCAATGGGGTTCAGCCCCGGGCAAGTTCGTTGTGGATTCAATGTGACCAAAGAAATTGAGAGCAAAACGTTCTTTGAGGTGAAAAGGTTTATTACCTGGCTTGTTCTCCCAGCAGTAGGTTGAGCACTAGGGTCTCTGCTTCCACCCAGAGCACTGGGTGGAGCTCTTTATATAGAGTCAACAGCCATGTATTGCGCACAGGTGTGCCGTGAGCTAGTCAACCAGGGCCAGGTGAGAATCCTGGCCACAGGAACTCTCATTTTATCCACAAAGGTACTGTGTTCTTGTACTTTGAACCACTCTTCATCAGAACCAAAAATAAGAATTTGGTTCTTGGTGTAGTGTGTATCACCAAACTTAATGGTTTCTAGCACGTTGGGTTGGGACAGGGTTTGTTTTGGAGGTTAAACATTTAGTTACCCCAAGGGAACTCACAGGATGGTTTCATGAGTACTTAGGGCCAGACTGAGGAGTGCCTTTCACAGAGGAGGTAGAGCTCATCCACTCCTTCATTTTATATTAAAGATTAACAAAATTGCCAGCTTTTTTTTGTCTGTGTGCCAGCTCTACATTCGAAGGCCTACGTTGTCCCAGGCAGTTGCATGGGATTCTCTAATAACAAAACAGAAATCATTGCCCTCTTAAGAGTTTGTAGCTCTGGGTCTTAAGAGGTTAGGAAATTCTTTATGGAGAGGAAAGGGCTTATTTTGGTGAGATGGACTACCTTGTAGCTACAGTGGTTTTATAAAAGCATTACAAACAGGTCCTAAGAAAAGTGGGTTTGTCTTTAAGCCTTTGCTCAGTGCTTCTGTGGAACTGAGAAACTAGGCTGTATTTGGCTGTTTTTCCTGGAAAGCCCTTAAGTGAAGTGTTCCAGGTGTTTTCAGTTTAGTCTCACAATGCTTCTATGTGCACATGTCCCCCCCCTCGCCCCGCCCAATGGTGCATTGAAAAACTGTCTTGAATGTAAGAATACCGAACAGGACTCAGATATAAATTGGGTAAATATGGGGGTTTGCTCATACAGTTTAATCTCGTTAATCCTTGATAAAATTTCAGTGGTTTGGGGCACAGCATAAAATATATCAATACATTAGATTTAATTTGCATGACAGTTACAGATATTGAAGACTGGTATCAGGAGGGGCAGAAAATTAACCTTGTTTGGTCTTTCAGGTGTGCTACACCTGTGGCTCACACTGTCATGCAAATTGGGAACTCAGTCCTAATCCTAGCACAGACCCATCTTTTTCTCATTTAGGCCTGTGGGGTCTTGTTTTGCCAAGATAATTGAATGGTTAACCATGGAGTGATGAGTAGTTCTGTCTCAGGAGTCTTGGGGTCAGTGCCTTGGCTTCAGTCAATAAGCACTTGAATGTTGTGTGCCAAGCCCTCTGTTGGATGTGGAGCTACCAGGAGACACACAGTCTGGTGGGAGGACTGGAGAAGCTGCACGCTTCGCTTCATGATGTGGTATGTTGGAGCAGAGAGCCCAGATGGAGGCTGGAGACCTAGGTAGGGGACAGATTGCAGCAAAGTTTTTTAGCCAAGGGAATTTGGATTTTATTCTAAGCCATTGAGATTCTGCAGGGTTCTCTACAGAGGGAAGGCAGATTGGCATTTTCAAAAGATCAATCATGGTGAGTGAGGATATGCTATGAGGATGCTGATGCTGTCAGTCCTGTCTGCCCCTAGCACTGTCCACCTAGAGTGTGGGTGTTATTTGCAAACAAGCTAAGGTACTTTACTTCTCTTGATGAATTACGAAATGCCTCTTACCTTCTCCTCAATCTGCACCTCCTCCCCCTCTGCTCTGCGAACTTGTTTGTCTTGTAAGTCCTAAGTCCTGTCAGCATGCACAGCTTGCTCATGAAAATGGCATGTTCTCCCCAGGTCCTTCTGAGGTCCTCTCAGCACTCTTACCTTCTACCCACCCATCCACCTGCTCTTTGCATTTGCTCTGTGAACTTTGAGAGGTACACATTTGGTTTGGTGGGTTCCCCTGCGCAAGCCTCAGCACAGATGTCTTTGTGCCATGTCACAGTATGTTCAGAGGGGAAGATATTTGAGTTCATTCTGGGTGCTGTAACAAAATGGCACAGACCGGGTACCTTAAAAACAACAGAATTTATTTCTTAAGCTTTTGGAGGCTGCAAGTCTGAGATTTGCCAGCATGGTCAGGTGAGGGCTTCTGGGTTGTAGACTTCCTGTTGTGTCCTCACCTGGCAGAAGGGGATGAGCAAGCTCTCTCCGGGCCTCTTGTATAAGAGCACTACTCCCATTTGCCGTGATCTAATCATTTCCCAAAGGATCCATCGAATATCATCATCTTGGGGTTAAATTTCAACATATGAACTTTCCCTGAGGGGGATACATTCAGACTAAAGCTAGATTGGGCATTTTGGAATTTCTAGATTCCTACTGGCCATCTCCTTACTGTTTTTTCCTTATTACCTCTAGGATGAGTTTTGGAGAGGTTTTCTCAAATTCTAAGGTAGCTGATGATCTTTGTTTATAAAGAAGGTTAAATGTGTTTATTATGAGCACCCTCACCTACCTTATATTTAGTCTTTGGTAAAGATATATCTAAATTTCTATGTTAAATTTAGGAAACGAAGAGTGGAGGGGAAAATTTGGGCATTTATGATGTTACAGACCTTGATAAAATCTGATTCCCAGTGTTTGACCTATAGGGTTTTGTTAAGTATATGGTATTATCTTTACATGTAGGTAACAAGTATTTACATATTGGTTATTAAATAATTGAGCACCTACTCTGTTAGGCACTTGCAACATGACTCGGTTAAATAACTTGACTAAGGCCATATGGCTTGTATGTGGCAGACCTGTCATGTAATCCTTGATCAGTCTGGCTATCAAGCCAGTGATCTTCTCACTGCTGCCCTCTGTGAGCATCTGCTCTGTCCTGGCCCAGCATTAGATAGGAGGGATTAGGAGGGCAAGACTGTTCCCTTGAGTACTCTGGGTGACACATCCCAGACACACAAAACCACTGTTTATCTTGGCTCTTGAGTGATGGCGCTTTTGTGTGTGGTCCTGTTTCCTGCATCTTCACTCAGCAGATGTCCAGTGCTTGGATGGAAGTCTGTGCTAGGGTCTGGAGGTGCAAAGAATAGGGCAGTGGTTAGTCTAAGCAGTCATTCATCACAATGCAGTGTGTGGAGGTTGTACCAGGGATATTTGAAGTGCAAGGTATCAGAGGAATGAGGGATGAACCACTGGGAAAGTCCTCACACAGGTGTAATTTGAGTTCTGATAGATAAGGAGGAGGAAGGGACATCTCAGACAATAGAGACAACATGTGTCCAAAAAATGTCAGGAAATGCTGCTGGTCTGGAGCGCTTGGAACCCTCCTGGTTTCTGAGGGCCCTCCTCTCCCTCTTCTGTAGTTCCTTTCTTCATTCCTTGGGCAGCTGGGAGTATGGAGAAGAGTGGGAGATGATGCTCAGGAGAATGTTGGGAGCCAGCCTGTGAAGGGCTTCTGATGTCATGGTCTGGAGTCTGTGATGTGTTCTGTAGGCCAGTGCAGAGCCGCTCTGAAGGGTTTTAGGCAGATGTGACATTGCCACATTTTAAATGCCTCCTGGCACACTAGAGAGAAAGGATGGGAGGTAGTAGGCAGGGAGCTGGTTAGGAACTGTTGACATTGTTCAGGCTGGTGGTGATGAGGGCGGGACCAACCTCTCCACCTCATCTTTCCCTCCTGCCCTCAGAGATGCACAGTTCACCAACACTGCAGGAAAAATGAAATCTCTCCTTTTTGAAGCCAGATGGTTGGTCTCTTGTCACGCACTCTCTACCTAATCTTTACATTCATAGCTCCCTATCCACTTTGAAAGTCTTATTGGGTGACCTGGATCCATCTCAAGTCCTCACAGTCTTGGACATTTCAGCTTTTAATACTGTTTCTCAAGTTTGGTATTTTTGCTGTCCTCCCTTAGTTTCCAGGATATTAGAGGGAACTTGAGTTGGAATCCTGGTTCTGTCACGTCCAAGCCATGTGGCAGTTTCCCTCTCTGTAGGAGAGGGGTGACAGGTGTGGGAGCTCTGTAAATTGTAAGTCCCTATGAAAATAAAGTTTGTTATATTCTAGCCTTTTTTTTCCCCTGTAAGTATAGTCCTGGTCTTCTCTACCAGGGTTGGCACATGGGTGGCCCATAGGCTGAATATGGCCTGCTTGGTCCTTATAGTATTTAAAGTTTTGGACAGTTCATGTTAAAAATATGTGCCTCCAGTCCAAACTTCTACCTTGAGTTGAAGACTTGAGTGACTTCTTTTCTTTCCTCACTTCCTCCTCCTTTTGCTATTTTATCTTTCTCCCTGGTACTTTGCACTAATCTGTATATTGCTTTTCTTCTGGTTTTCCCTTCCCTCACCAAGTAGAACATAAGGTCCCAGAAGTTGGTATTTTTGTTTATTTTGTTGAATGCTGCTCTCCCAGATCCAGAACAGTGCCTGCTGACACATGGTAAATGCTCAACTGATACTTGCTGCCTGGATGAAAAATGCATTCAGTTTTGAGATTTCTTGTTTTACTTGGAAAACCAGAATCTATAGCTGTGGGTCTGTACTGCCAAGGAGCGGCAGATGGTTTGAGGTGATCTGCTGTGGCACTTCAGATGGTGCAGGGGCTCTTCAGTCTGCTGTAGACCTTGCCTTCCATTGTTGCCTTATACCTGGCTGGGGGGCAAGGAGAGGGACAGCTTGTCCCACAGGCAGAGGTGGAGAAGTCAAAGAAGGGATTTGGGCCTTAATGGAAAACTAGGTTATCAAGCATAAAGGGACACAGAGGCAAGAGTATCACAAGCAAAGGAGAAAAGATGTGTTCGTGTATGAGTGTGTGATGAGTGATGCCTCTACAGGCAGGTAGAGAAGCGGGCTGTGGAGAAGTGGGCTGGGAAGTTGTGGCTCTGTCCTGTAGGCAGGCCCATGGGGCCTTCACGTTTATTTGTAATATTTGTTAGATTTTCTTAAGTATGGAAACATATAAAGAAAACCAAAATGGCTCATAATCTCATTTCCCAGATAATCCCTGTAGTCATTTCAAAAAATGTTCTAACATGTTAGAAATGGGTGAAATAGGTAAAGGGGAAGAGGAAAAAACTCAGAGGTTCATATTGCAAGTCAAAGCCACTTTTTCTGTCCATCTCCCCAAAGTTAATAGCTCAACAATTTGAGTACTTCAGAAAAAAATACTAAGCCTGTACTGTTATCTAGATGCATGTATTTTCAAAGGTTTAGTAATTTTTTTTAAAACAAAGGTGTCACATGTGCTTCTTGGGGGAGAAAAATCAACTAATACAAAAAGCTTATAAAATACAAAAACTTAATCCTCTTTTCCTTTCCTCTTAATTCTAAAGACACCCATTAGAAACAATTTCTTCAGACTTTGAAATGCATACATGTAAAGCATTTTTGTCTTTTCAAACTGTGACATTATTCTGCTTGTTGGTCAGCTCCTTGCTTTTTACTCTCACTGTGTAACATGGACATCAGAGTTCCCTTATTCTTTAAAAAAGCTTATTGTGTTTTACGGTATGTCTGTTTTCTCTATTGAACCAGTCCCTTATTGATGGGCTTTCCTGGAGTAGACTACCTTTCCTCAGTAGGGAAAAAAGATTAACAGGCTTAGTGTGATGTTCCTTTCACTAAGTATATATACGTTTGAGAGGAATTTAGTACAAATAGAAGCATAAGTTGTAGTGGCCATAGAGTGCCTTGGGATGATGGTAAATCCAGGTCACACAGCTGGGGAGATTTGGAGTTTACTGCTGTTGGGATGGTTCTGGGGTATATTTATGGAGCATTCTTATCCCAGGCTGGGATTAAACAGGATTTGAGTTTCACAGCAAATTTATGCACTCCTCATTTAGTGGGTTCAGAGGGGAAAAGAAAGGATCTGAGACTCCACTTTTATGTCTGAGCAGATTTGGGGTCCTGCAGGTGAGTAGTTAGAGTCTCTGAATTGACTGTGGTGGGTTCACTGGGGTATGGGACAGCTTCGAACACCAAGTTTTTGATTTTGTGGAAGGACTTAGCAGAGAACTTCATGGAGGCTTGGGGTGTAGTGGGAAGCATGCTACCCTCAGGATGCAGGTGTCTACTCCTCCCTGGGCCTTGGGTTTCCTTGACTCTTAGCGGTGGGATTGGGTAAGCTGGTTTCTAGGAACCTTTCCAGTGCTAAAATTTGGAGCTTCTGTTCTTCTGGTGTGTGTTTTGGTATAGGTGGTAGTCCTTACCCTCAGGGAGCTTATAGTGTAGTGTTATAAGACTGCTGATCCCTCACATCATCCTTCCTACTGCAGTATGAGGCTATTGTCTGATGAGCATTGTAGCCCCCTTTACGGGGACACTTCTCAGTGGGGTGGGATGGAAACCACCTCCTGGAGAGAATCTTGGTTGTAGCCACTGTCATTTCTACTTTGATTGGTGCCATCACCTCTGATTTATAATTTGCCAAGTGCTTCATATATGAAGTCATCCTTGGGACAACCCTTTCACAATTTCTCTTTTCTTCCAGGTTGACTCCAAAGATAGTTCTCGAAACTCCACAAACTCTGAATTTGCAGCTGAAGCTGAGGGTCAGAATGATACAATTGAGGAACCAAGTAAGGTCCAGAAAAGGAAAAGGGATAGACTTCGAGACCAAGGCTCTACAATGATCTACCTGAAGGCTATCCAGGGCATCCTGGGAAAGTCGATGCCGAAAAGGAAGGGAGAGGCCACCACTAGGGCGAAACCAAACATAGGAGAGCGTCCCAGCTGTGGAGAAGGGCCAGCCAAAAGTGTCACTGCACCAGCTCCTCAGGAAGGGAAAGAGTCAGCCCCGGAGGTGAGAACAGAGGAGAAGGCTGAGCTGGAGAGGAGCAGCTTCTGTGGTAGGAGAGTGGTGATAGACCCTCAGGAGGAGCCGGCCGAGCGGCCGCCTAGTGACCAGAGGACAGTCATCGACAAGCATTCTCCACCCCTGGAGTTTTTGGATGACTCTGATTCTCATTTAGAAAGCCAAAAGGTGAGTCAGGCTCATGCCAAGCATGGGGTTTTTAGTTCTGTTGAGTAAAAAGGTATGTGGTCCTTCTAGTTGAGTCCTAAGTGCTAGTTATTAAAAGCAGTACTTTACTTACTCAAGACTCCAGGGTAAATTGATGGTTCTCTTTTAACATACCTTTCGGAGTTACTAAGACACATTCATCAGTGCTATTTCTTTTCTTTTTTTTTTTTTTTTTTTAAGGATGTAAATGTTGGGATATGGCTCTAACAAGTCCAGAATAATAGGGGCTTCAAAAAAAACAGAGATTTGCCTTAAGGAGGATGGCTTCCAGTATCAGGGGATCCTAGTGTCTTCTGTCTCTCTGCTCTGCTGCCCCAAACCAGTTTCCATCTTGTGGTCTGAGATGGCTCCTCTGTTAGAACATCAACATTTCCAGCTAGGAGGAGGAGGGAAGAGAAAAGTGTGCTCCCTTCCCTGTTCAGAGCTCCGTACAGAAGTTGCCCACATTGTATCTACTTACATGTGGTGACAAGAATATAGAAACCTGGCCAACACATAGGGCAAGAAAGTCTGGAAAATTAGCTTTCATCTGGGCAGATTAATACCTAGATGTATGTCTTGCTGTAGAAGAAGGAAAGAATGATAGTGGAGAGGAAGTAGCAATTAAAAAAATTTTATTTTTATTTTTGGTATCATCTACAATTACATGAGGAACATTATGTTTACTAGACTCCCCCCTTCACCAAGTCCCCCCGACATAGCCCATTTAGTCACTGTCCGTCAGCATGGTGAGATGCTATAAAATCACTACTTGTCTTCTCTGTGTTGCACAGCCCTCCCCGTGCCCCCCCCGACCATTATGCATGCTAATCGTAATGCTCCCTTTCTTTTTCCCCCCCTTTATCCCTCCCTTCCCACCCTTCCTCCCCAGTTCCTTTCCCTTTGGTAACTGTTAGTCCATTCTTGGGTTCTGTGATTGTGCTGCTGTTTTGTTCCTTCAGTTTTTCCTTTGTTCTTATACTCCACATATGAGTGAAATCATTTCATACTTGTCTTTCTCCGCCTGGCTTATTTCACTGAGCATAATACCCTCTAGCTCCATCCATGTTGTTGCAAATGGTAGGATTTGTTTTCTTCTTATGGCTGAATAATATTCCATTGTGTATATGTACCACATCTTCTTTATCCATTCATCTACTGATGGACACTTAGGTTGCTTCCATTTCTTGGCTATTGTGAAAGAGATGTTTTTAAATGAGAGAAATTATAATCGTGCTCAGTTTACTCAGTCTCATGTTACTAATTCTTGTTTGGTCAGAATCTAGTTTTTCCATCAGTTGTGCAGATTCTTGCCTGGTTATCCGAAATCTGTATTAGACATCCTTTGCTTAAATCTCCTTGGAGATGAGGCTCTTTTGCACGGACTTTTGCTGGAGCTTCTGACAGTAACTGTTGGTAAATGACAGAAGACTTAAAATGGCCATTGTTAAAGATTTTGTGAGAGTTCATCATAATGCAGTCAATAAGGAGATTTGTTTATTTCTGTAAAATGTAAACTTTTAAATAACTATACTTAAAAGTGATAATATACCAGAACATAGCAGATTTCTGGGAGTTTCATACTACTTCTAGAACATTTATATTAAAACTTATTTCTGTACAAATCTAAGATTTAGTGTCACTTATTTGACAAATCTTCTCATAGGTTTAAAAAATTTTTTTTGGCCTTTTATTGAAAGTGTACAGCTTGATGTATTTTCACAAATGGAGCACATCACTCAAGGTGATGATAGGACTCCAATATTTCTAAATTATTGCTGTGAGAAAGCACTGTTTTTTAAAAGTTCCTAGATTTCTTTCCTGTAGCTCTGTAAGAGTAGAAGCTGCAATCTGTTTTGCTTTCCATATAGTTTTAACATACCAAATAAGAGAAGAAAGTCCCCTGACATACTCCAGAGGTCCTCCAGAAAATCTGAGAGTTAACTAGAGGTAAAAGAACTTCATTTAGAATCAGTTTTGGGAAGTATGTCAAAATTATTTAAATAGATTTTAAGGTACTTGCCTAAATTAGAATAAATTAGAATTCCAGATCATTATGAAACAATACTTAGTTATCCACTTAACCAAAGTGGCAATAAAAGATTTTAAAGGTAAATACAGAAGATTACATAGCTGTTGGAAGATTTAGCTCTTTCAATATTGAGATGATTCAGTTTTCTTAAAGACCTGGTTAAGACAACAAGAAGCACAAGAAATTTTGATAAAAATTATTTTAAAGGCCAAAAATCTTCACCATCTTTTGATTGTGCTCACAAGAGCAGACCAATAGTTTAGGAAGACTTTGTCCTTTTAGAAGGTAAAATTAAGTACCAGGTTTACATAAGATCACTGTTGATATTTAAAGCTTACTTGTGCCGCTCTAATAGCCAATTCAGTTTAATTTTAACCAGCTTAATCACACATTAAACTTCCTTATACACAAACCTCCTGCATAACAACTTTTCTTCTCACATTCAGGTTGTGTCCTAGGTTTTCCTTTGTTGAAGAGGAAGAAATTTCCTCTACCCCTTGAGGTTCTTCTAGCTGGTCTAATAATCAAATTGAGATTAAGAGGAGAAAAAAAAAATCAAAGTTATATTACGTACGTACGTACAGGGAAGCCATAGATGTGGGTTGCAAAGACAGGGAGAATGTGGTATATGTCATCCTGAACCAAGGAGAAGGGGGAAGGGGCCTGAGAATTCAAAGGAAAAGGAAAGTAACTCACAGGAATATGAGAAGAGTAAATGTTTAGCAAACAAAATACCTGATGGGCTACACAGAACAATGAGGCACAGAGAAATTTTTAACAGATTTTCTCATATTCCTTCCTATCATTCCTAGTTTACATTTATAATATAACTATCTATGGTTAGCTCTCCTCCAGGAGTAGTCCCTCTGTTTAAATTATTTTTATGGGGTGGGGGTAGGTCAAAGTAACTGAGTCTTTTGGGCCTTGTTGGTTTTTCAGCTCAAGTAGTCTGCATGGTCACAGTGGCACATCTTGGGGAGGCCTGCCCTTGGTCTCTACACCTTCATTAAATAAATAGCCTTTCACTTTTAAGACAAAATTACTTTCTTTCCTCTTTGACATAAGTTTATGTCCATTCTTCAGACGTTCTTTTACCAAAAGCATGTATCTTTTTCTTGCATGCAGACATGTTTCCTTTTTTATTTCTAGTGGCTTTAATTACACTTAATAGAACTCTTCTAGAAACTTTAATTTCTGATAAAAACTAAGTAGTAAGCAATTGTGAACTGTTACACCAGCATTCTTTTGAGGGACAAATTTATGAATACTTTTCATAATTTCTAGAAACACGTGCTGCTTTGTAGTATAATCTTTCAGTAAGCACAAAACGTGTTTACTAACAGACCCAAATTTGTATTTAATTTCTCAGTAATAAGGAAGCCAAAAATAAACTAGTGAAGCATTAATTACTATATAAGATTTATCTTATTTGGAAGTGATCAAGATTTTCAATGAACAACTCATCTAATTACCTAGCTTAGCAAAACTAACAGTTCAGGTCATCAAAAAGATTTTTCAAGTTATTTTTATTTTATTAAAAAAAATTTTTTTATTAAGGTATGATTGACATACACTCTTATGAAGGTTTCACATGAAAAAACAATGTGGTTACTACATTTACCCATATTATCAAGTCCCCACCCATACCCCAATGCAGTCACTGTCAATCAGTGCAGCAAGATGCCTCAGATCCACTATGTGCCTTCTCTGTGCTACACTGTTGTCCCTGTGGTCAAGTTATTTTTAGCTACACATATCATAATAGGTGAGTGTCGCTAAAAAGTTCACTGTATCAACACATCTCGGGCAAGGGAAACAAAATAAAAAATGAACAAATGGGACTACATCATGCTAAAAGGCTTCTGTACGGCAAAGGACACCCATCAACAGAACAAAAAGGCATCCTACAGTATGGGAGAATATATTTGTAAATGACATTTCTGACAAGGGGTTAACATCCAAAGTATATAAAGAACTCACATGCTTCAACACCCAAAAAACAAATAACTCTATTAAAAAATGGGCAGAGGTTCTGAACAGACACTTCTCCAAATAAAAAATTCAGATGGCCAACACGCACATGAAAAGGTGCTCCACATGGCTAATTATCAGGGAAATGCAACTTAAAACCACAATGAGATATCACCTCACACCAGTTAGGATGGCCGACATAGAAAAGACTAGGAACAACAAATGCTGGCGAGGATGTGGAGAAAGGGGAACCCTCCTACACTGCTGGTGGGAATGTAAAGTAGTTCAATCATTGTGGAAAGCAGTATGGAGGTTCCTCAAAAAACTAAAACTAGAAATACCATTTGACCCAGGAATTCCACTCTTAGGAATTTACCCTAAGAATGCAGGAGCCCAGTTTGAAAAAGACATATGCATCCCTATGTTTGTCGCAGCACTATTTAAAATAGCCAAGAAATGGAAGCAACCTAAGTGTCCATCAGTAGATGAATGGATAAAGAAGAGGTGGTACATACACACAATGGAATATTACTCAGCCATAAGAAAGAAAAATCCTACCATTTGTAACAACATGGATGGATAGCTAGAGGGTATTATGTTCAGTGAAATAAGCCAGGCGGAGAAAGACAAGTACCAAATGATTTCACTCATCTATGGAGTATAACTGCAAAACAAAAACTGAAGGAACAAAACAGCAGCAGACTCACAGAACCCAAGAATGGACTAACAGTTGCCAAAGGGAAAAAGGTACTGGGGTGTGTGGGTGGGAAAGGAGGGAGAAGGAGAATAAAGGGCATTACGATTAGCACACATAATGTGGGGATGGAGGGGCCGGGCACATGGAAGGCAGTATAGCAGAGAGAAGACAAATAGTGACTCTATAGCATTTTACTATGCTGATAGACAGTGACTGTTATGGTATATGTGGTGGGGACTTGATAATGGGGGGGAATCTAGTAACCACAGTGTTGTTCATGTG